AAAAACTTTGTTGTCCTAGACAATGTTTTTGTACAACAACAACATACACTGTTTAATTAAGTGTTTTTTGTTTTATGATTTCAATGAAATAGTGAAGCGAATTAATCAGAATTATTGTGATGATGATGGGGATGGGATATAATTTTTTTTATTATCTTTCTCTATCATCATATTTATTCTTTTGTTTGATAGTATCCATTTTTTTTTTTTTTTTTTTTTTTTTTTTTTTTTTTTTTTTTTTAATTGAGAGGGAGATAATATACTAAACTCACACACTCAACAAAAAATTGAAATTGTACATATTCAAGTTGTGCCCTATGATCCTTGAGAGAATTGAAATCTTTTGTTATTGTGTATGAATCTATATTCTCGGCAAATTATTTTTCGATGTAGACAATAAAAGAAACTGCTATAATCTCCTTCACAAAATAGTGACCCGCACCGCACCCACCCTTTAGACTACCTAATTGAAAAGGGCGTCATTAAAATGAATATTGACGAAAACAAATTAAAAAAACAATGGGAAATGATAGAGAGTTAAAGTCATGAATGTTCACTAAGGGATTATTCCTTAATTGAGCAAGCAAATTATATTTTAATTTTCAAAAAAGACTACCTAGGCTAGAGCCCATGGTAGCTTTAAACTTGGTTCTGCGAGTGCTTCCAGATAAGGAAGGAAGTAGTGTCCTAATTTAAAAGGCATATTCGATTGGAGCTACCTCTTAACTAGCCTTTAGTTTAGTGGTATTTCTCTTAATAGTGGAAGATGTCCCAAATTTAAATTCATTCATCGGCACCGGAAATCACTATATTGAAGAGTTAGAATGTTATGTTAGAAACCCACCAGAAAGGTTAACATGTTGAGCTTTTCCACTGAAAATAAATTGCTTATGCATCTGTGGTTTCCTAGGTGATGTATGTACCTTAATGGTTAAAAGAAGGCTTATTTACTGAAATGCCCCCTGAAACTATGATCAAATCTCACTATATCCTCTAAAAGTTAAAGTTACCCAAAGTAGCCCATTTTGTTTCATAAGGTAGCAGCAGGAGCATGAACCATTTTCCTCTGCACAACCCAAGAAATTCAATGGTGCCCATCTCAAAATTTTATTTAAAAAATCTCCAATGGTATTCATCTCAACAAAAGTGCAAGCTCAAAAGAGTGCCCCTTGAACCGAAACTCACTCTAGTTTCAATAAGAATGAAAGGCAAAGGGAATTTTTGGCTATTGAGAGCTTGTTCAAGCGCCAACATCTCCAACGACCACTCAAAAAGCTAGGCTACCACGTTCCACCTTAGTTTGATCTAGACTGGGTTGGGTCCAACTTCCAATTCTCCCAAGCTCTACCTCAAAATCTTGATATACACCGGTCGCAGAGGAAGAACATGTGGCGTCAACTATGGGAGGTTGTTGGCTTGAGTTTCGGTGCCCCTGGCTCCAGCGGGGGCATCACCTAGGTCGTCATGAGGCTGTTGGGTTAGGTTTCGGTGCCGTTGGATGTGGCGAGAACTGAGGCTAAGCCCAGTGTGTGCACAACGAGTGGGTCTCCGTTGGGAAAGAGTCCTCAAGGGCGTGTTCTCTACCTCGACCCAAGTGGTTGGTAGGGGAGGGGCGGTGAAGCTTGTTAGAGGGTGGGAGAGGAGGAGGTAGGGTAGTGATGCCTACCCAAAGTGGATGGTAGGGGAAAGGGCGGCAAAGTTGGTTAGAGGGACGCAGGGGAGGAGGTAGGTCAGCGATGCCTGCCCCAAGTGGTTGGTGTAGGAGGGAGGTGGTCGTCGAGTACAGAGCAAGAAAGAGGGTGAGAGAGAAGTAATTTTCTATTTTTTTAAAAAGAAAATATTTTATTGATTTTTTCACACGGGGCACTTACGTGTCACTTGTGCCACATCAGCATTTTTAACATAATTTTTGATGGACTTGACACCAATGGGTAAAGTGAGAGGCAAAATATAGGTGAAGGGTGTAGTTTTGGGTCACTTAACTTTCAGGGGATAAAGTGAGATTTGATCATTGTTTCAGGGAGCACTGCAGTAAATAAGCCTTAAAAGAATACAATTCATGTACATACCATGTCAATCCCACTTGACATATTTGACTTTTGCCTAATTGGGCTACAAGGAGCTTTGCAGAAAGTAGCTACAGAATTTTAGGTAAAACAAATTGTGATAGTATTGTGAAAATTAATTACATGACTACGATTATTTAGCATACATGAATAAATATATTTGAGCATTCTTTCGTTGTCGATTGGACTGATTGAGTGTTTTTGATCTACAATGTGCAAATAAGTAAGATGAGGCGAAGAAATGCTAATGATACGAACAAAACGACGACCATAAACGTTTATCCCCTACAATAAAAAATAAAAAAAAGATACATGAGTAAACTTATTTTGCGGAAAAAAAAAGTTTCAATAATATTAACCTCACAAAGAATGGAATGGAGTCATTGGTTGGTGTGAAAAATAGTACTATTTTGTCTTTCAATTGTTGAAGAACCTTAATTAACCAACAAAATTGAGCTCGTAAAGAAACAACATCTTGAAGTCACTTTGTTTTATTTGGAATAAACATAAATCAAATAAAAATGTTAATTCAACATAGCATATATCTCATACATAATTTCTGATTAATTTAGTTCTCCAGTTCTAAAATAGAAGATGTAGGTGAAACTGTAATTTGAACACATCAGTTTCAAACTTGTGTACTCTTTGCTAAAGCTCTAGGATTGTCGACATCAAGTTTTAACAAAAGAGTCGCATTGAAGAATATATCACGGCATGTTTTTTCCTTCAAACAGAAGATCATCGCAACAATCACCTGTTACCATCCCACCTTCAAAAATACTTCCGCCAACTTCCCAAGCGCAATTAATGGATATATGTTTGCATTCAACCAAGGTCTCCGAATTTATTGCCTTTGGGGTTGGAATTGCGATAGAAGGTGTGGGGGAAATTGTAATTTCAACACATTGGTCCCAAACTTGTGTACTCTCTACCAAAGCTCTAGATTTATCGATAATGGGTTTGGAGGCAAGAACAAAGTTAAAGAATAGATCATGGCATGTTTTGCCAGCAGACACAAGCTCATAGCAACAACCATATGTAACACTCCCACTTTCGAAAATACTTCCACCAACCTCACGAGCGCACTTGGTGGAGATATGTTTTTTACATTCATCCACTATTATCGATTTTGAAGCCTTTGAGTTTGGAATTGTGATAGAAGATGCAGGGGACAATGCAATTCCAACACATCGATTCCAAACTTGTGTACTCTTTGCCAAAGCTCTAGATTTATCAACATTGGGTATAGACTGAATAGCAGAGTTGAAGAATAAAACATGACAATATTTTCCTATAGACACAAGCTTATGGCAACAATCATCTGTTACAGTCCCACCTTCGAAAATACTTTCACCAACTTCTCGAGCGCAGTTAATGGAGATATGTTTTTTACAATCATCCAAGATTTTCGAATTAGGCGTCTCGAAAGTTGGAATTGCGAAAGTTGTGAAAATCATTCTTGATGTGCTCGCCAAAAGCAAAATGACCAACATTGGGTGCATATTTGGTGCGGCCATAGTTCTCTTTGGTACGAGTTAGTTTTTATTTTTTTGGGGAAAGGCAAAGAATTCTTTGATGGAGTTGAGTTTTAAGAGTTTCTTTATTTATAAGGGTTTGCAATGATCCGAGTTATTTGGAATATGAAAACGCCTTAGCATCTCATAAATACATAAACACTTTAATTCCTCTTGATTTTAAAGACGAGAGTTTCTTCAACTTAAGTTACAATACATTTCTAACTAATAACTGCTTCTAATTTAACTTTACTAATTGTATGACATTACTAGTGTCCAACGTTTTATATGCTTGGTTAAAAACTTTGTTATCCTAGACAATGTTTTTGTACAACAACAACATGCACTGTTCAATTAAGTGTTTGTTGTTTTATGATTTCAATAAAATAGTGACTCGCATTAATTAGAATTACTTTGTTTGATGAAATGGGATCCTTAATTATCTATCCTAATTATTCGTTTGTTAGGACCTGTTCTATTAAGAGGAGCAATACTATACTAAACTCATATATGCTACATTAATGCTAGGACTCGAACCTAGGACTTTGCATGAGGGAGCCATTGCCACTACACTAGTGGTTTTTTTGCAAATTATTCGTTTTTATAAGGCAATGAACGTGACATCACAAATTTTTTATTTTAATTAAAAAAAAAGAAATTTATGGCATTGTAAATAGAATAATATTATTGTTCATTTCATGAAAATTCATTTTAGTAAACCTGTTCAATTATAACTGGCTACATTTGTCTCTGAACAATGGATTATAACGTAACAACTGTGCAAGTCATGACAATAACATACAACTAATCGAATCAATAAAGATCATGCTCATAAGTTTTCATATCCGAGTTTAGATGGTAAAGATGACGTAATTTTATTTCTTTTCTTTTCTTGTTGGGTATAATGCGAGCTAAACATTATGTTGTTTGTTTGGAAGAATGGGGAGCTAAAACAAGTATAGGCTTAAGAACCTCTTCTAATCCTCTCAACTACCATCCCAGAAAATGTTGGGAGGAGAGGAGCCTAAAGATCCATACATAAGCCCCAACTAGCCAACCCGCTAGTCACCATGTAGCTTCTTGTAGACGAGTGAAATTTTAAAAATGAAACAATCTGATTGCAAGTTTATTTACAGGGAAGAGGTATTGGAATTATTTTCATTATTGACTTTATCTACATTTACAAATATATGAGTATCTAAATAATTTCAATTCCCGACTTCCCCTAAGTTTACTAGCACATAAGGAATCAAAGATTATGTTGATTCGACATTAAATTTCGTAATTCAATACCTGAAAAACCGAGAATTATTATGGGAAATAGTTAATCCCATGCCCATTCATTCTCTCCCCTATGCCAAACTTTCCCGATTCAGTCTACTAGGTAACTCAAAATAGTGCACGCAAAGATAGAGAATCGATGGCAGGAAAGAATCAGATCACAGAGGCTGAGTTCAATACCCCGAATCGAACCATGGTAGGTCTAGAATTAGCCATAATGTCTCCTTGATAAAAAAAATCCTAGATGCTTTTGTAAACAAAAAACTTCTCATAGTATAAATGATAAATTCATGGGATGAGCATACTTCATCTTAAGATTATACCTTAAATAGCTTATTCATTTGGCCCAAGGCACCTCGCAACAGCCCAGCATGGTGACTCATTCTCATGTTACTTTACACACGAATCATTTTTGGGCAACTCTAGTTTTCCATACTTCAACGCAGTAAACAACTAGTACAATATTATATATCATCTAGGCCCAGTTTGGGATTGCTGTCACTTTAAAAAAAATTGCTTCTGCTGTGCTTTGAAAATAATTAGCTGTAAAGTAAAGCAGCTCCATATTTGGAAAACAATATTTTTAAAATGTTGTCAGTACAAAAAACAGTGTCAAAACTATTTGGTAAATTTTAATATAAAATTATTGTAACTGTGAATAATAACTAAAATAGACATGATGTTAAAAGTATGTACTAATCATGTGGTGATAGTGATAGTGATGGAGTGGAGGTAGTGGTGGTGATGAAGGTGGAGTTGGTGGTTGTGGTGGTAATGGGGATGGTGATTGTGAACGTGGTGGTGGTGGTGGTAATGGCAGGATGGTGGTGGTTGTGGTGTTGGTTGTGGAGGTGGTAGTGGATGTGGAGGTTTTGGAGGAGGTGGTTATTGTGGAGATGGAGGAGGTGGTGGAGGTGTCGGAGGTGGAGGTGAAGGTGGAGGAGGTGGTGGTGGCAGTGGTGGCAGAGGATGAGGAGGAGAAGGATGTGGTGGTGGTGATGGCGGTGGTTGTGGAGGTAGTGAATGTGGTGATGCAAGTGGTGGACTTGGATGTGGAAGTGGAGGTTGTGTCATTTTTTAAAATGAATGATGGTATTTTGGGAATTAAAAAAATTCATTAAAAGTTCATCTCTGCTCCTTTTGAAAGCAACTTTGAAAAATAACCCAGAGCCTGCTTTTAAAAGCTGCTGTGAAAAAGCCAATGCTTTTAAAATAATCATGATATTTTATTTTTACCAAACACCTTAAACTGCTTAACTTTAAAGTGAAGCAGGTTTTTTGCCAAAAAAAAAGAGGCAATCCCAAACGGGGCCCTAGTCATACAAAAATAAGCTCAACTTCCAAATTGTTAGCTAACACCTTTTATTCAACACCAATAAGTGTACACTCTTTCTCCAATAACCAAAGTAGGAGAGAATGACCGGTTTGTAATTAACCAAGGTATAGCATTGTAACAGAACAACTTTTGTAGTATCATCAGGCACCTGCAAAAACAAAAACAAAAACAAAAACAAAAAACAAAAAAAACAAAATTGAAAAAAGAAGAAAGAAACTAAGCTCGTAGGAAAACCTATATTGTAAGTAAAATCATCAACTCTTACGTAAAGCATGAACTAGCACTAACGAAAAAACAAGGTATGGTTTTAATTCCAACAGTGAACTGCGAAAAACTTATTTACAGCGAGATCCTTTTAGTCTGGATAACTAATAAATTATTTAACAAAAGAGCCAAGAGTAGATCAGATACATAAACTAAATTGCTAAAGCAGCAAAATAATAGATCAAAATAGACCAACTGACTGAACTGTAATACAGATTAAACAGGACAAACAAAAACAGGAAAAAGACAGAAATAATACCCCACGGGCTTAGAGCCCATTATAAGCTTGTACTTCTAACTTTATCAATATTGCTAAACTTATACTTGATAACTACCACTATTTCTTGAACAATAGCGTGCCCATCTTAGTACATAGTCAGACTCAGATGTATCCATGCATGCCTCTCTTTCCACATGGTAAACATGAGCGGTTGATGCAACCTTCACCGAGAAGGTGAAGTCACTACTTAAGACTCAGTCTCTTTGCTGCCTGCCTAATTTACAGAAATGAAATTTATCTAACTTAAACTTTACCTGCGGAAGAGCAACCAAAGAACAAATGATTTGAACTTTGAAAAAAATCATCTACAATAGAAGTAAGTCTCAGACACATCTAGCATTATAAGCCATTATATCTGATTCCAGAGACTTCTTTGTAAGCAATTGTTGGCGGCAGAGAAAAAAAGTTAACAAAATAAGGGGTGGGTAAAAGAACTCCTTTATTGCCAAATGCACTCTGAGTGGTCTCAACCCTACAAGGATTCAAGAAAACCGATTTCTTGCTAGTAAACCAGGAATTCATTTTGCAAATATCCACCCTCGTGCCATTGAATTGACAAACTAACTCGTCCAAACTTTGTGTTCTCTGAGCACAAGGCATATCTCTTGAATTTAACACCAAATACAAACCTTACTTTGTTTTGTGGATCAGTCAGACCCCTAATAATCCAAACAAATTTATCTAGAAAAGACTGGGTTACAGTCCCTGCTGTCGTCGAGGCCTACAACCTTGTATTTCTTTTTACAACCAGTTTGCTATTCTTCCCTGTCAACACTGGACCTTGCACTGAAACCATGAGTCAGTGACCTTGTACTAAAAACCCTGCTCTTCCTTACCTTTCTACTCTTGGAGAATGTCATAAGAACTGCCAATTATAGTGCCCTTGGAACTAGAAGGGCCTTTCATTGTTTCAAAAGTTCCATCCGCAAAATTGTATCTACCACATCCAATTTCTTCCTTAGTTGTTGAAAAGTTAATTGACCATTAGTTCAGTCTCCGTTTCGATTCATTCCTTCTCAGATACCAACAAACGTTTCTACAAATGGTCCAAGATGACCGATTTCTGAGCCTGGGTCAACAACCTTTCGACGTTTTTCCAACAGGGTAATTGTCCAAATCCTTAGAATCCAGGATAACTGACACCATGATTGGCAATTTCCTCTTACAAGAATTAGACTTCACAGGCAAAGGCATTTAACCTTTATTTGAGCAAAACCACATAAAATTGGCCAGCCAATTCATGTTGAAAAAATAAACTTAAAGACACATTTTCGCAAAGAAAACTAAATTTCAGTATAGATGCATCACTGTCATACTAGCCAAGAAGCCCAAGCTCCTGTTACACATTGAAACTCTCTAGCTCTAACAACACAACTTCATCTACTCTAAAACTTAGCATTTTAGTAGCTACGAAGATTTTCATTTCCCAATTAAACACTTTCGTCATGTCCTCAGCACTTGCGTCTCGATTTCATATGAAAGGCATTTCAGGAAACCAAAAAATGGCAGATAAATAAATCGAAAAAATAGCAACAAAACAAACATGAAATTCAACTGACATGAAGCTCCGACTAAACGCCATTTCAATCTCTTAAAAACCCATTTCCGGAAACACAAAAATTGCAAACAAAAAAAGATAAAAGCAATGGAGAGGAAGAACTTAGAAAACGCACCGGTTCGGTGGCTACCAAGACGCTTTCTTAATGCCATTGAGCATGCCTTTAGAGGCCAGAGTACGAAAGACGATACGGGACATACGGAAGGTCTCGTAGACGGCGCGTGCGCGGCCGGAGAAGATGCAGCGGTTCCTGACGCGCGTGAAGGAGCTGTTTCGGGGCAGCTTGGAGAGCTTGAAGCGGTTCTCCTCGCGCAGGTCGCTGGGAAGGCTTGGGTCCTTGCAGAGGGCCTTGTACAGATTTCGTCTCAGCTCGTATTTCGCCGCCAGCAACCGGCGATGGTTGTCTCTGATATTGGCATTTTCCTCAGAAACTGACATGTCTTCCTTTTGGGTCGAATGCTAGCAAACTCAGATTTTGGTAGGGTTTTAAGCTTGGGGACAAGGAGGGGTGATCTAGATTGGATCGGTTTCACCTCAAAATTACAACCGAATCAATTACAATATTATAGTTTGGTTTGGTTCGGTTTGAATAAAAGTTATAAAGAAAACTAAACCAAGCTAAACCAATTTAAGATAGATTGGTTCGGCCGGTTTGAACCTAAGCCCAATTCTCTTTCTCTTTGCATTTTTTCAACATTGTTAGCCCAATTATAACAAACAAATTTATAATTTGCTTCGTACATAAATCATTTTTTAGAGCACAAAACCATTCTAAAACTCAAAATGTCATAATATTTCATATTTCATTAACTAATATAGCTCAATTCAAATATTCATATATAGTTATTAATAATTAGAGTATTACATATGTAAAATAAAATATAAATTTACTTAAATATAAATATACACATAAACAGTCCAGTTTGTTTAAGCCTGTTTACAAAAGTTCAAAACCAAACCAAATCAAACCACACACGGTCTAATTTGATTTTTAAATCGTTTGACTTTTTCTTGGTCAAAAACAAACCAAACTAGTAATTATGGTTTGGTTCAGCCGGTTTAATCGGTTCGACTGGATTGATGCCCACCCCTAAGGACAAGTCACAGCTTATTATGAATTTTTTGTTGGCAAAAACTAATTTTTTGGTAATTTTTGCTTTACTACAGTAAAATTTACTGACTTTTAGAGTTTGATACACAAAGTTACCAAGTTTGTTAACTACTGACATGGCAACAAATGTACCACTTGGTCCACATATATTATTAAATCAATTAATTAAATAAATAAACCTAAAAATTCAAATTCAAATACAAATTCAAATCCCTTTCTCTCTCTCCCATCGAACCTAGAACCCTATTGCTCTCTCCCTCTCTTTAGAAAAGCGGAGGAACGGGATTTTTGGAAAAGCGAAGGCTTTTCGCCCTATAACGAGGAGCATTAATTCGAGGCCAACCATAATGCTGCAAGACCGAAGTTAAGCCAGGTGGGGCTAGAGTAATCTCAGGATGGATGACCCACTAGGAAGTTGCTCGTGAGTTCCCAAAAATAAAACCCTGAGGGCAGAGAGAGGGGCCCAAAGCAGACAATATCGTGCTACGACGGAGCCAATCCCGAGATATGACAATTTGGTATCAGAGCCACTCTGCAGTGTGGTGCGAGTGTGCCGACGAGGACGTCGGGGCCCTAAGGGGGGTGGATTGTAACATCCCACATAGACCATTAGAGAGGGGGTGATGTGTCTTATATGTACATGCTCGCCTTCATCTAGCACGAGGCCTTTTCGGAGCTCACTAGCTTTGGAGTTATAGGAACTCTGAAGTTAAGCGAGTTGGGGCTAGAGCAATCTTAGGATGGGTGACCCATTGGGAGGTTGCTCGTGAGTTCCCAAAAACAAAACCGTGAGGGCAGAGAGAAAGGGCCCAAAGAGAACATTATTGTGCTACGGGGGAGCCGATCCCGGGATGTGACAACCCAGGTCATTAGGGATCGAGCATAAGGGCCGAGCATTAGAAATGTGTGTCCATTTTCTTGGGGAACTCGCTGATTGACAGCCACTAAAGCAAAAAAGAGTAAACAACTTGAAGGCAGCCGACCAAGGGGCCCATAACCGAGAAAGTGAAGAAGTAGATGCAAATCCTTCTTAGTTTAGACTTCTCCATTTGTAAGCTCCAACTTCTCATACAAGTACAAGGCCCTTAGCAACATTCTAAGGGTCCTCAACCAACACCCCCCCCCCCCCCCCCCCCCCCACCGTAGTAGCCACGCGTTCCGCCGGCTGCCACCGCCATGTACAACCATTGTTTGGGCCGGGACCAGTCCCAAAATGACTGGCCAGTCTCCGCCATCCATTCTCACCTATTCTTCGATGCAAGACGGCAGCGACACCGCAGGATTTTGCAGAAAACCGACCGGTTTCGAGAGGAAAATTCCAATAGTTCGATCTCTCTCCTCCGGCAGCCACTTTTGGTGATCAAGGTATGGAAATTCATCCTTTCTTCATAATCTAGCTGATGGTTGGGTAGGATTGCATCAATTTGTAGCCTAGATTATCTGATTTTCGAGTTAGGGTTCGACCGATTTTGAGTTAACGATTCCGGCCACTTCCGGTCAGTTTTTGGGGTATGCCCAAGAACAAAAGTGACTCCAAATAGGGTGTTACACCTAGGGTAGGAGTCTTGAGCCGTAATTTTGGGTTTTTCTAGCGATGGGTTATCGCTTTGGACACCCACGCGCTGCCGGCGCGTGTGGCGGTGCGTGGGCACTGTAAAAAAAGGGCTTTGGGTCTTCATGTGATCTCTGGGTCCTCACGAGTGCGTAGGGGTGCTCGGATTGCAATTTGAATACTGTTTAAGTCTCGAATGGATATCGCCTATTACGCGTTATCCGGGTTCGCTAGGTTTGGACCGTTGGATGGTCTTGAGTTTATTATAGGTTAATCTGGACATCCTTAGGATCATGTAGGATTTGACAGATCGTAAAATGGAGTCCCGGATACTCTGAAAATGCCAACCCTCGGGCTAGGGTTATAGTAACCGTGCGATCGTGCGATTGTGAGCGATTTGACAGTCCGATCTGGACCAAACTTGCAGGACGTGTGTCCTAAGCCTTGTAGAACCTATAGGAACTTTCGGATCGGAATTTGGAGGTCATGGGCCTATTTGACCAAGTTTGGGTAGTTTGACCATTAGTTGACCGAGAGTCTTCTGAGGTAGTTTTACATTCCTAGGAGGATTATAATGACCCTAAGGACAGGTCTTGATCGTTAGTTGAGTATGTTGATTATGTGGGATTAGGATATTAGTTTATGATTTTAAAGTGGGGGATTATCAGATGCTATATTGGGAATTAATGTATTTATATATTATAAAGATGTTTGATTTTACTGTGTAAGTACCACCCTGTAATTGTGAGGTCCCACGAGTCGTAGGAGTAGCCGGTGTGTTGACAGACTCCATACGTGGCGTTGGTATATCTGGCGTATGGGGAGATTGTGATATTGTGTTGAGGTCGCACGTGTCGTAGGAGTAGCCGGCGTGTTCACAGACCCCATACGTGGCGTTGGTATATCCGGCATATGGGGAGATGTGATATTGTGTTGAGGTCGCACGTGTCGTAGGAGTAGCCAGTGTGTTGACAGACCCCATACGTGGCGTTGGTATATCCGGCGTATGGGGAGATTGTGATATTGTGTTGAGGTCGCACGTGTCGTAGGAGTAGCCGGTGTGTTGACAGACCACATACGTGACATTGGTATATCCGGCGTATGGTGAGATGTGATATTATGTTGAGGTTGCACGTCTCGTAGGAGTAGTTAGCGTGTTGACAGACCCCATACGTGGCGTTGGTAGATCCGGCGTATGAGGAGTTATGTGAGATTATGATTGGTGAATTGTGATTTAAAGTAAAAGGGTTTTAGAAAGAACTATGTGTGGCTTGATCCCTCAGTGAGGGTATGTAGGCAGCCTAGGATAGCACCTAGGGATGGCAACGGGTCTGGTAGGGGCCGGGTATGACAATACCACCCCGTCCTCGCTCTCCATCCCCACCCCCGTCCCAGAACCCATCCTCGTTTAATAGGTTTCGGGGAATCCCCATCCCCGTTCTCATCGGGGGACTACTCCCCATATCCGCCCCGAATCCCCGATTTTTTTTGCATAAAAAATATTTATAATACATTTTAACATTAAGTTTCATATTAAATTATCATTCAATGCATCCAAATTAACTTATAAAGTTCAACTCAACTATTCAAAATCACATCAGTATGAAATTCCAAAGAAGATTAGGAAAAATTAGGAGAGGGATGTTAACTTAGGATTAAACAAAAATATTATAATTATATATTTATTTATTTATTTATTTAAATATAAACATATATATTTTCGAGTCGGGTTCGGGGATGGGGAGGCCAATACCATCCCCTCCCCATACCCATAGGGGATTTTACAAGTTCGGGAATCTTCGTACCCGATACCCGGTTGGCCCCGAAATCTCCCCCCGTTAGGGTCGAGGACCCGACGGGGACCTGCCCCTGCGGGGATTTTTGTCATCCCTAATAGCGCATAGGTGCAGCCGCGGGCTAAACTTTGCTCATATTGTTTTATTGAGATTGGTTCGGACCTCGTCGTTGGTCCTGAAATTTGGGAGAAAACGAGATGCGATTATGATAGGAGGTTAAAACCTCGTACATTAGATAATTGAGGAAGTTATTTTATGTTGATTACAGTAGGCGTTCATCATTAAATTTGAGTTTGTTATATGCATTATTTAATGCATTAAATTGACTTAAGAACAGTGCTGCCGGTTGGGTTATATCAAATGTATTTTATGCAGATGGAAATTTTGGAAAATGTTCAATTGACAGGGGAGACCCTGCCGAATTTTCGGCAGAAAGTCTTGTGCCCTTACTCCTTTTGAAAAAGGAGGCTACATTTTTAGTGAGTGGGGCCGACATCGGTATGATGTCGGCCATTCCACAGGATTCGTCCTGGGTTTCTAGAAATTCGGGGCAGGTCATGTCATGCCATCAGTCTTTCTATTACCAAGTCTATTAACTGTTGATGTGGCAACAAATGTGCCATGTAAACCCACTCATATGATACCACGTGGTCCACATAAATTATTTAATTAATTAAACTTAGAAAATAAAAATAAAAAACCCTCTCTCTCTCTCTCTTTCCCATCGAATCTAGAACTCCATTGCTCACTCTCTCTCTCTCTCTCTCTCTTTTGGAACCTAGGACCCTAGCCAATCCTTCTTAAGACACCAAAAAACCTTCTCTTTCCCCATGACCACCCATAAGACCCCCTCCTCCTCCTCTCACCCCTCAGAACCTAGAGCCCAACATAGCCTGCAACCTACCCCCATACTCGCAGAACCCACAACCCTACCCTCAAATGCAAAGTGTTCGATTTTTTTTTTCTCTTTTTTCAAATTTTGAATTTGCAGGGAAATGGATGATCTGGATGGGTCACAAGTCGGGCTAGGGGTGGATCTCAGGTGGGATGAAAGTGGTTGTATCGTGGTGTTGGGCTTGAGGGTGGATGTTTTAGAAAAACACTTTCTCCCCCTCCTCTTCCCACTGCACCTCCCCTCACCTCCTTCTCTCACATCGCTCATTCCTCGTCAGTTTTCCTGACGAAGATTTTGTTCCCCTCAAACAATAATGATCATAAAAAAGGAAAATAGAAAGCCAGAACCTTCTCGACGTCCCTCACATCGCCATCTATGATCTTGTTCGCAACAAGCTCTCATTGTCAAGCCTTTTCGCTCTTCATGTCCTCTTAGGCTTTAGGGTTTTGATCTTGACTTTTTTTTATTTCCTTTTGATTTCTACAAATTTAATTTGTGAAAAACCTAAACAAAAACATTGCAGCTTGCAGAGGTTGTGAACCAGGGAAAATTGGTTTCGGATCAGATGGCGGAGGTGGTCGAGGGAAATGAGAGGATGGGATGGACCATGGGCAATCGAGCGATCTCTATCACTCCCAGCCCTGGTGTTGGAGGTTGGTCTCCACTGGGAATAGAGATAGATAAAGATGAGAGAGAGAGAGAGAGAGAGAGAGAGAGAGAGAGAGAGAGAGAGAGAGAGAGAGAGAGAGAGAGAGATCAAAGTGAGTGTGGGAGTGAAAGGCCGAAGGGGAAGGAGGGAGAGACAAATGGTAGGTGACTTGTGGGTTCTGCTAATTGGGTTTGTGGTTATGGTTTGTGTTAACTTGATTTTTGTAGTGGAGTTTGCATTTAGGAGCTTGTTGGTTTAGCCACACTCCCCATAATCTCCTATGGTGATGAAATTTAGAGCGGAAGATTGAAGGTTAATGGGCTCCAGCACCAACTTTAAGAAATTGAAATTGAAGGTTAGAGCATCTGAGAGGGATGAGGGAGAAGGGAAGTTGGGGTGTGGGTGTTGGTAGGGAGATAGGGCTGTAGGGTGGGTCGGGTTGGGGTGGTTGTACTATAGGGTGGGAGGGGAGGAGGTCGTACAGGGAAAGATTTTTTTTATAAATATTTATCATGTATTATTTTTTATTTTTTTATATAAAATTAAGGGAAAATTGTAGAGAGAATTGGAAAGTAGAGAAAGACAATAGAATTTGTGTCAATTAACTTGTATATCTCATCCTTTCATATGTGGTAGAGCCACATATTTATAGGCTTATAAGATAGGAGATTAAGTACTACATTTATAACATATAAATAAGTTACAAGTATTAACTACAAATATTTAAGGCATATGTTACATAGAATTAGAAAGGGTGAATGCTAAAAGGTATAGTGGTCATCCACCAACTCATGCATTTACAACACTCCCCCTTGGATGTCCATCATACAATGACATGGTTGCCTCATTAAAAACCTTGCTCGAAAAGCCCGGTGGGACAAAACATAAGTGAAGGGAAAACGAATGAAACATTCTTATGGATCATTGATATGGTGTTTGAGGCACTTATGCTGCCTCATTAAAACCTTGCTAGGAAAAACCCAGTGAGACAAACCAGTCGAAGGGAAAAGAGTACCGCGCGCATATAATGCTCCCCCTGATGACGACAAACTTGAATTATTTGAAGATACAACACAAATGATATTGATATCTCATTTTCATCTTCTTCTCCTTAGGGTTCCTCTTTTCTATCTTCTCCACAAGTTATTCTCTTCAGTCTTCTCCAGGTATCCATCTCTCTCTCATACTCTCTCCAATATGCTTCTTCTATCTTCTTCTATCTTCTATCTTCTCTTTCTTTATATATTTCCTCTTTTATTAAATTTATGTGATATAGTAATTCAACATTGCGGGAATCTTTAAAGCAAAGAATTACATGGTTGAATTATTTATTTTTTTTTTTTTGTTATTTTTCTTGTGTGCGTTTCTCTTTTTTTTTTTTTTTTTGTAGTATAGTCTCGGTTTTTTTTTTTTTTTTTTTTTTTTTTTTTTTTTTTTTTTTTTTTTTTTGGGGGGGGTGGGGGTCTTTTTTGTCTGCATTGTTGTGAATGAGTGGATTTAAACTTGAGAAGCAACTGTTTGTAGCAACTGTCTTATCATATGAATCTTACCGAAAAAAATTTCATGTCATTTCAATTTCAATTTCCACTTAAATTGTTAAAGAATTTTCTTTAAAAAAATAGTATGATTCGATGTTATCCGTAACAACACCAAACACATCATAATTTAGTTAGATTATTTATCCGGAACAGCACCAAAAGCCTTATAATATTATGGATAAATAATTAGTACTCTACGGAACAGATTAATACTATCCGACAAAATTTAGTTAGTACAGTCTGACATACCAAACAAGCCCCTATAGAAAGAAATGTTTTTTTTTTTTTTTTTTTTTTTTTTTTTTTTTTTTTTTTAATAAATAAATTTTTTTTTTTTTTTCTTTTTTATGGAAAAGGGGATTCAAACTTAGAACATCTTCCAACTTTGGGAAGAAGTAACACTAGACAAACAGCTGGTTAGTTAATAGTATAACCTTTTTTTTTCTTTTTTTTCTTTTTATCAAAGAGAAATTTTATTAGATAAACTTTAACAATATAAGCAAAAACATCAAAATGAAAAGAAAAATGCACAAACACAAAGTCAAAAGACGCATGTACTAACTAAAACCCAAATCTCTCAACAACAAAAAAACTAATGCCCAAATCCAAATTAGAAGTAATAATTTAACAATAAATGACTGCAATTTCTAACAATTTGATGATCACCTACCGGACAAAGTCCATGTTAACTCCCCGTTGGAACTGATTGGGATCAAATTTTCTTGGACAGCACCTACGTGCATTTCTTGTGGGTATAGAAAAGGTCTGAGAGGCATTTTTAGGCTTTCACCATCTCCTCCAAGCATTTCTATAACTTTATTCATCGAAGGGCGATCAATTGGCTTCATTTGAATACACCACAATGCAGTTATAACCATCTTTTTTATTACTTTCTTTTCCTCCTCGTTAACATCTCTCATCTCCAAGTCATCATTTCCCTTGTTATATTGATCGTACGCCCATAATGGGAAGTAGATTTGGTTTGAATGCTCTACCATTGTACTCCAATTCTTCCTTCTACTTGCCATTTCCATAAGCAACATTCCAAAACTATAGACATCGGCTTTGTACGAGACACCTCCAATATTTTTGTAGAATAACTCAGGAGCAATATAGCCCATAGTTCCCCTTGCTGCCGTCAAAGAGACAATGCTATTATCTATGGGATATAATTTCGCAAGCCCAAAGTCAGAAATCTTAGGGTTAAAGTTCTCATCAAGAAGAATGTTATGAGGCTTAATATCAAAATGTAGAATTTGCATGTCACAACCTTGATGTAGATATTCAATCCCTCGAGCCACTCCGAGAGAAATCTCGTACATTTTCACGCAACTTAAGGGCATGCTTTCCTCTTTGGAATAAATATATTTATCAAGAGAGCCATTTGGCATGAAGTCATATACTAGAGCACGATTTAATCCCTCAACGCAATAACCAACAAGTTGCACCACATTAACATGGTGAATCCTTCCAATGGTAGCTACCTCACTTGTGAAGTCTTGCCCGTTACCTTTGGCCTTGCCCAATAGTTTAATTGCTACAAAACGGCCACTGCGCAACTTCCCTTTGAATACAGAGCCATAACCGCCTTCACCTAACTTCTTCTTAAATTTACTAGTCATCTTTTTAATTTCTGAGTAAGAGTACCTTATTGGCAAAAAGTTGATATCACTTTGTAGAAAATCTTCTATGATGCTATAACTCGACAAATGTCTTCTTCGCCATATATAGATCACGAACGCAATCAGACATGGAACCCCAAAAATTAGTCTTGCTGGAAAAAATAAGCCTGACAAGAGATATATATCACCAAAAAGAATCATGAGAAAACAAATTTATTGGTTAGATCAAGTAATGCTTTCAACATTTTTCTTGTTTTGTTTCAGAAATATGTATTCTTTGATGTCATTCAAGGGTAATATATACAAGCCCTTACCGAAGCAAATGAGTATCAACCATATAAGTCCTGCAAGAAATATAGCAAAAGTGGGGACAAAATCAAAGACTTGACTATAGGTTTTCGAAAAGTGAACAAAATCAAAGAATTGATTATATGCAAGAAATACAAGATCTTACTGTTGGTTCTGAACGGAAAATACCATCCAGGATGATCTGCAAGAAATACAACAACAAATGTAAGTAAAACAAAGACTTGACTAAGTTTGAATTGACCTATTTTTTATTTATTACAAGTTCATTAGTATCCACTCACAATTGTCGTGATGTAACTGACAAGAAAAAAAGGAGGAAAAGAAAAAGAAATAAAAGAAGCTTTTGGGGAGAAAGTCCTTACCAACGTCCACGCTGTACCTAGAAAATAAATACTCTGCAGTGACCAAAAAAAAAGGGAAAACAAAAAAGAAACAACATTAGCACATCGGTCATTACAATTTGAAATACCTTTATTCCAGCCACAAACTGCATCATTGCTCATGGAGAAATTGTTTTGGTATGTCTTATTTGAGCAATGTTCTCTTTCGAGACAAATATTTTTGTTGTCAAATTGTGAATCTAGACACTTATGAAAGAGTCAAATTTATATATGAAATTCACAGTCTGACAAGATAAACTGTTTATATTGCCATATAATTTAGAAAGAGAATTACATCTTATTTTAAACTTTTTAATTGAGGGTTTTGATATAATATTTGGTATTACATTTCCCAGTGGAATCAAGCCTAAAGTGAATTGGAACATGGGATTTCATAAGTCCAAAAGTCTAAAGGAAGCTGACCACATACCTAATTGAAACAAAAGAAGGTGCAACAGTATTAACAAGATATAATAGTTTGTGCATGAGAGGTAGCCCCTTAACATTTATGATGTATCTCATTCAATTATTTTTGTTTTGTTTTTGAGAACATCGCATTCAATGTTATTAAAAGTATCTTCAATTTGTAACAAGCTCCTTTTGTCCTAGGTTCATTTCGCACTAAAAAAATAGAAAATAACATATAGCCAGATAGAGAGGGCCTTTACCGTACATATTCGCCCATAGAAATCGAAAGAAACCTACACGAACAAAGAAGAAGATAACATATTAGCACACTAAGTCCTTAAACTTAAGGATCAATTACATTTTCCATTCTTGTGGTTTGATATGTGTACAATTTGCCTATGTCTTTTAAAAATTGGCAAAAACGACCTTGAAGTTATCAATCGGTACACCATTTGCCCCACTCTGTCTAAAACTAGTTGCTATTTTTGACCTTATACTTGGTTACCCTATATTTTACTTATATTATATGGATGCCATATTGATGTCATGTGGCCCATTTTTCAACCCTCTTTGTATTTAGAAGGCTATGATTTTCTTTAAAGAAACTCTTTATTTGTTGTCCCAATGACATACGGTGATCCACGTAGAATGAACCTGGCTTCATTAAGCAAAACATAAGCCCCAAGCCAACTGCTATACCGAAAAGCAAAGTGTAACTTGAGGGTTAGACTAGCATAGTGACTAATGATGTTAGAATTCTTAATTTAAGGTTGTTTCTGCTAATTTTTTTTTAAACATTGTCAATTTGCTTTTATTATTTTTCTTGAAATTTGTTACAACATCTTAACCCAAGGAAAAAAAGTTTGCCAAGAACTTCCTCTGTACCTGACAGATTGATTATCTAGTATTATCAATGAGAACTTTGTCATGTGTTGTAAGTTTATCTATAATCAAAATTTCATAACCCTACATTTAATTATGAGATATCGCAAGAGGTTTGTAACTCAAGTAATTAAAAATATTTATCCTTAAATTTTAGATCCTAAGTTCGATACCCCCTCCTTCTCATGTCATTTGTATAGATTTAAAAAATAATAATAACTTAAATAAAAAAAAAGTACTATTCCTATGGTAACTGAGTTGTATGCCTTTGAAAGTGTATTTAAATCTCACTTTACAAACTCATTTTATCTCACTCTATTTTTCACACATATTTATCTCACTTTTTCTAGATTCTGGAGAGGCCAACGATTTCTGGTCAAAATATTAATTAAAAATTAATAATAAGATTAAATATTTAAAACATAATATAGTAGAAAAACCTAAGAAATTAAACACCTAAACCCTAGCCACCACCATCCCAACACCCAGCCTTCTTCTGGTTCTTCGCCCAACAGATCAAATCAAAATAAGAAAATCAAATTCCAAGATATAAAATCAGAAAACCAAACCAAGTAATCAAAAGAATCATATCAAAAATCAACCCACAAAACCAAATCATACCCAACCATTCTCCAACCACCCAACTTCCTCTACATACTCGACACTAGTTTCACCACAGCCCCCACCACCAGTTCAACTGCAACATCCTTCCAACCACCATCGAAGCCACCCCCATCCAATACCTCATCCCATCACCCCAAACCCTCCCAAGATTAATCTCCCCATCCAAACCCCCACTATGGTAACTAATCAAAATCAATCAAAAAATTGAAAAACAAATTCACATCTCAAAGAGAGAGACGAAGAGATTGGTGGGTATGTGGATTGGATATTTGGGAGATGGGTGTTGATTCAAAGGTGTGGGTAGTTTGGTCATGGGGGTTTGGATCAGGTATCAAATGATGTAAGTTGTTATGGGATGGGGGTTTATGGGGGAGAAAGAGAGAGAGAGTGGCAAGGCAGACCTGCTGGAGGTGGTCTAAGAAATTGTTGCACCGAAATGACAACGCCAGCGGGATTTGGGCGGCCATGGTCGTTGTTTGCTGGGGTAACTCAGGATGGGGGGCCTGGAAAGAGAGAGGACGAGAGATTTTTTTGTTCTGAATTTTGATTTCTAATTAATTTAATGTAATAAGACAAAAAAAAATTAATTAACATAACGTTTTTAATATTTAATATGAATTAAATGTTTAAAATTGAATTTTTAATTTTAATTCATAGTTTGACTGGAAATTGTTGGCCTTCCTGAAATCTAGGCAAAGTGAGACAAATATGTGTGAAAATGAAAGTAAAGTGATCAAATTGAACACATTTGACCAAAAGTAACAGAAGTTGGACACATTTGACAAAAATTCCTAGTTATCCTTGAATTGTTTGAAATAGAAACTATTCGGACACAATTGATGAAATTGAAATATAGGAACTAAAGTGACTTTTTACCATTAAAAAAATAAGCCGTTTAATTATTTGACAAAAACTAAAAAGTTGGTACTTTATTTATTGTCCTGCTTATGGTGGCTTGCATTGTAGGTGTTCGAGCAAACTCCCAAACCAAAGTCATAAAGTCTCCCTGGAGAAGAGCTACGAAACTACGCTATGAAAAGCAATCTGCCCAAGGAGGGCTAGCTAGTCTAGTCACCTTTGTTTACCCGCGTAGTCTGATGTGTTAATTTATATATATATGTTGATCGTAGAGTATGAGGTGTTAATTTATTATATGTTGATGGTTGTTGACGAATTTTTCTTGTTGGGTGAGGTGCATTATGTATCTTTTGTCAATTGAAAATTTTAAAATTTAAGTTTAGGAGTAAAAGATGCATAAATTCAGAAATTTCAGTTTGTTTCTATCTTAAGTGGTAAAGTTGAAAAGCCGAATTAAATCTAACTAAGAACTTCAATTTTGGTACTTTAGTTTAAAGTAAATCGTTCTCTTGCCAGACTGTCAAGACATTTATTTGATACATTGCCAAATGTGCGAATAAGAATCATTTGTCATGTTTATTCTTTCTTGAATATGTAGTTTAGATTCATAGTTTGACAACACAAGTATTTTCCTGATATTGCAAGTCTGACTAGAGAACGTTAAAGAGAAGTCCGAATTCCCCTAACTTCCTTCTATGCACTATCATAAACTAAAAGTGCAACAAATTAGACATAGTCAAAAGCCATGGCCTAGAATTCACGTACCTGGGATGGTGTGTGGATAACATGTATGATATTTCCTCCATTGGTGCTGGCATATTTCTTCATCATTATATACTCCAAGGTCAAAGCCATACATGAGGGCACTGTGTATGGATTCATAAGAGGTATTGTAGCCCTTAGAGTAGTTCAAGAGCGCCAAAGCCAGCCACTCTGCACTGCAACCCTCATTCAAATCCCCCACTTCCATATCCCCAACCTTCACATAACTGTACGTCTTTTGTTGGACCAAAGAAGAAGCATTTATATTCAAGCATGGAGCAGTGTCCACGTACAGAGAAGAATTCACTGGATTCGAACACTTGATGTAAAATACAGGTGTCGAAAGCAGTTCAGATACAAAATACACTTGATCAATTGATGTAAAAGGTGGAAAATTTTGAGGCATGGAGGAGCAATTGTTTTTCTGGAGGCCAGGATCTACGACTCGGATTGTTAGGTTGTGGTAGTTGATTGCCTGGACATAGTATTTTCCTGAAGGAGGTATGTCTACAAGTGTAATGTTGTTCTCACAGGACAGATTATACTTTACATCGCCGCAGTGCTTTGGATCATGTTCTAGTCGGAAAGGATAGCTTATGTTGTGGATATTGCCGCAGGAAGAGGTACAGTTGGTACCGTCGTCTTCCGCGTTACAGGTTTCTCCGGATAACCCAACAAGAAGTGCTACTATCAAAACCCACCTAGACAAGGCCAAGAACCTGTTTCCCATGGGGAGAGAGAGAGAGAGAGCAGATAGAGAGAGAGCAAAGAGAGAGAGCAGAGAGAGAGGGGTTGTTTGGCATTCAAATTAGCTTAATATTTAAACAGTTTCTTATAAGAGTTTCGCCGAATATTTACAGTTCCTATAGGATAACATTTGAAAAATATCAAAAGAAAAGTCATGCAGCCTAGGTAAGCCATGACGTCAGAGAGTCAGTCAAATGGTCGACATATGTTCATTGAAAATTTTATTGACTTCTTGAAAATTTATTTACTGTAAAAGCGCCAAGATTGTTTCCGATTTCTTGTGAATGGTCGATTGAGCAAGGTCAATTTATTGCTGTACTTGACATATCTATCCAAATACATCTGCTCAGGAAAAAATCCAGTGCCACTTTAGCTCAGAAATGCAGCGATTCCTCATCTCTTGCCTTTGCATACTGTATATGGTTTTCGTTAAAGCGGTTGAAGCAGGACAAGATACGTGCACAGAATCCAAGTGCAGTGACGATCATGGCTTGGCTATCCATTTCCCGCTCCACGTCAGACATCATTGTGGTGATCCTAGGCTTGAATGCAGTGGTAGACAGGAGAAGGTTCTTGAGGAGCAAGTAGCACTAGTAAAATTCTTTGTCAAAAGCATAGATTACAACAGTGGGCTAATCGAAGTTTATAACCCAGATGGCTGCCTGCTGTTAATGCCCTTAGAAACTCCTAACATTCCATTCTCCCCCTTCCACTTATTGGATTATGAAATACGTAACGTTACCTTATTCCATTGTCCTGCTGAAAGAGATACATATTTGTATCAAGTCCCCTGCCTCGGCGGCCCTGGCTACAGAGTTTACGGCGTTTTTTCTTATTCTGGTTTGTTTTTGAGCCTCCCGTACCTGAAGTCCTGTACAAGGATGTATGATGTTTTTTTTCCAATTTCGTCTTTGGTTGACAGCTCTATTCTTCGCTTTAAATGGTCTAAGCCAAATTGCACGGAATGTGAAGCGAGGGGCAAGAGTTGTAGATTGAAGGACAATGGCATCAACAGTGAAGTTGAATGTGTTCACTTGAAGAAAGCAAGTAAGGATTTTTTCACATATGTTCTGCTCAATTTTTTAGAGTTTCCAAAGTAAATCATATTTGCAAACATGATGACCAAATGATAATCTGGCTGGTTCAGGGTGATTTTCACAAACATGACGATCTGATTTTGAAATTATGTTTATGTTTTATAGGCAAAACAATGGAATTCGTGGCAACGGGTGAGTTATCTAAGACTGGTCTTTTCTTTTGCTTTGTTTCATGTCGAGAAGACGTTGGAAGATATGTGTTTGCTCAAGGATTGTATTTACTTGCAGGTGCAACGCTGGGTTCATCCCTTCTTTTAGTACTGGTCATTGCAGTGTATCGTGTCTATAGAGCTGATCAAAAGGAAAAAGAGAATCAACTGAAAATCGAAAGGTTTTTAGAGGATTACAAAGCTCTCAAGCCAAGCAGATATTCATACGCAGATATTAAGAGGATCACAAATCAATTCAAGGACAAGTTGGGCCAAGGAGCCTATGGAACTGTTTTTAAAGGAAAGCTTTCTTCTGAATTCTTTGTTGCTGTGAAAGTACTTAACAATTCTAAGGGAAATGGGGAAGAGTTCGTAAACGAAGTGGGAATGATGGGCCATATCCACCACGTGAACGTAGTTCGCTTGGTTGGCTTTTGTGCTGATGGATTTAGACGAGCTCTTGTTTATGAGTTCTTCCCGAATGGTTCGCTGCAGGATTTCATTTCATCAGCGGATAGTAAGCACAGTTTCCTTGGTTGGGAAAAGTTGCATGATATTGCTGTAGGCATAGCCAAAGGAATTGAATATCTTCACCAGGGGTGTGATCAACGAATCCTCCATTTTGATATCAAACCCCATAATGTTTTGCTAGACCACAACTTCACTCCAAAAATTTCTGATTTTGGTTTGGCCAAATGTGTTCCAAGGATCAAAGTATAGTGTCAATGACTACAGCTAGAGGCACCCTGGGATACATTGCACCTGAAGTGTTCTCTAGGAATTTCGGCATTGTGTCTTACAAGTCAGATGTCTATAGTTTTGGAATGTTGTTGCTAGAGATGGTAGGAGGAAGGAAGAATATTGGTTCAAGCGCAATGAACACAAATGAAATTTACTACCCAGAATGGATCTATAATCTTCTAGAAGGAGGAGATGACCTACGAATTCATATTGGAGATGACGGAGATGGTAAAATCCCGAAGACACTTGCAATTGTAGGGCTCTGGTGCATCCAGTGGCACCCGGTGGATCGTCCATCTATGCAAATAGTGGTTCATATGTTAGGAGGAGGAGATAACTTGGCCATGCCTCCTAATCCTTTTGTCTCTGCAGGTCCTACAACAACACATGCAAGCATCCCAGCAAGACGCGTAGAGTTAGAAGCAATTCCTGAATTAGAGTAAAATGTATAAGTATATGTATACGCACCAATGTAAGTAATATTAACTACATATGTGCTCGAACTTGTTGAACATGTAATAATTCTAGTCTAAATTGGGGGAGTTGGATATTAGATACTTTATTCAAGGGACATAAGATATTTCATTATTATTATTATTATTATTTTGGTTGAAAATTTGGGAATCCTATCCTTTGTAAATCAGTTGGTAATAAAAAGTTATTATACAAGTTGGTGTCCGTTGCATATTGATACTTTTTTCTTTTTCAATCGACCAATAGAAAGGTGGTCTCCATAACTCTTATACTCTTTAAGATACTCGAAAAGGTAATTAGAGCATTCCCATTGGAGAAAAACTTCATTAGAGAGAGCCTAGCCATGTAGCAGATTGACTGGCAGGTTATACCAAGTTAAATGAAATGTATATTTTAGAAAGTACATGTCACTAATGTGGCCGTAAGGTAAGGAATTCCCTACCCAAGTGTTTCTCTTCCAATTGATTTTAAGATACCAAAAAATTTCGAAACAACTAGGCTCCAACAACGTTAATGGAGACCAAACTAAGTATTCGGCAAAACTTTCTTATTTAAAGAAAAAATATACTTTGAGGTTGGAGATCATAAATCTTGAATGATTTGGAAAAGGTAAAGTCGCACTGTTAAAGAGTTCGGGTTACTCAAGACTCCTTCAAAATCAGTCCAGAGCCAATAAAAAAGATATCATATCAGTTGCTTTCCAAAAATTTTGGAGTTTTCCTTTACGTCTAAATTGGATGGGAATTGGGGACTGGGGACGCATGCATTGAAATTTCAAAATGTGGAATTAGTGGCTTCAATTATTTGGATCTTGAATGGGGACTTTGCCGTAATCAAAACGTTTTGAAGTTAGGCCATCTCCAGCCATGGGCTATATCCCAAATATAGCCCTAAAATAATGCAAAATTCATCTCCAGCCATGGGCTAAATAAAATTTTGGCCAAATTTGGTGGGCCACATTTGGCCATTTAGCCCTCCAACTGGGCCAAATGTAGCCAAACTTTGGCCTAGGCCAAATTCATAGTGGGTCCCACTATGTGCTTTTCAATCACCAAACATTAAAGCACTCCCCACTTCCCTTTCTCAAAATAATAAAATATGAATGACCCTAAAATATAGCCCTGCATGACTGGATATGGAAAAATTTAGCCCTGCACTATTCTTTAAAAAATTAATATTTTGGGGGGCTAAATTTTTAGCCATGGACTACATTTAGCCCTATGGCGGGAGATGGCCTTAAATGCTCCACTACTTTTCAAGTCAAAATGTGGAATTAGTGGCTTCAAGTGTTTGGATCTTAAATGGGGATGCTGCCGTGATCAACACATTTTGAAGTTAAGTGCTCCACTACTTTTCAAGTCAAAATGTGGAATTAGTGGTTTCAATTATTTGGATCTTGAATGGGGACTTTTCCCTAATACTAAAAACCTGGCCCCACCGATTAGAATGATTGTTTCGGAACATGCACTGAAATTTCAATTAGAACTTATAAATAAATACTAATTGTACGTACGACATTGATAATATATGTCCTATGTTTTCCATGCATGGTGAAAACGTTTATTGCACTCAATAATATTTTTGTAAAATAAAAGGATGCACGATTTAGTTCAGTAGTCTTATGATTTCAATAAAAATAATGAAGGTATCCGGATTGACGCATGACTTAATGATCCTCAGATGAAAGTGCTGGGTGAAATCGCCTATTCGGGTGTGCGATCCAGAAATTTTTTGAAACTAATAATATATTGTAAATTGATCAACACAGTATGGGAATTGCTCAATTAGTTTTTATAACCCAAGACATGTGACCCTACACAATTTTACTTAATTAAAATAGTAAAAATTTAGGAACGTTTGATAATAATTTCAATTTTTTATTTTATTTTTTTTAGTATTAAGAAGAACATCATTGATTGAAATCAAGGGGTACAATCACATCGTTCTCTACAACAGATTCCATCTAGGAAGGAACATCTTCATCATAAATAAGGCCATCTCCAATCGGGAGGGCCAAATATCAAATTTTAGCAATATAGCCTGGATGGAGCCCCCAACGCACATATAGGGCCAAGTGAAATATCAATCCAATCCATATATTAGGTGGAATAGCATTCCACCTTTTGTCTGGACTGAAAATTGGTGTTGCCCATTCAATTATTTGGATCTTGAATGGGGACTTCGTTGTAATCAAAACGTTTTGAAGTTAACTGCTCAACTACTTTTCAAGTCAAAATGCAATTAATGGCTTCAATTATTTGGATCTTAAATGGGGACTTTGCTGTAATCAAAACGTTTTGAACTTTAATTCTCCACTACTTTTCAAGTCAAAATGCTGAATTAGTGGCTTCAATTATTTGGATCTTAAATGGGGACTGCGTCGTAATCAAAATGTTTTGAACTTTAGTTCTCCACTACTTTTCAAGTCAAAATGTGGAATTAGTGGCTTCAATTGTTTGTATCTTAAATGGGGACTCTGCCGTGATCAACACGGTTTGAAGTTAAGTGCTCCACTACTTTTCAAGTCAAAATGTGGAATTAGTGGCTTCAATTGTTTGGATCTTAAATGGAGACTCTGCCGTGATCAACACGGTTTGAAGTTAAGTGCTCCACTACTTTTCAAGTCTAAATGTGGAATTAGTGGCTTCAATTGTTTGTATCTTAAATGGGGACTCTGCCGTGATCAACACGGTTTGAAGTTAAGTGCTCCACTACTTTTCAAGTCAAAATGTGGAATTAGTGGCTTCAATTGTTTGGATCTTAAATGGAGACTCTGCCGTGATCAACACGGTTTGAAGTTAAGTGCTCCACTACTTTTCAAGTCTAAATGTGGAATTAGTGGCTTCAATTGTTTGTATCTTAAATGGGGACTCTGCCGTGATCAACACAGTTTGAAGTTAAGTGCTCCACTACTTTTCAAGTCAAAATGTGGAATTAGTGGCTTCAATTGTTTGGATCTTAAATGGGGACTCTGCTGTGATCAACACGGTTTGAAGTTAAGTGCTCCACTACTTTTCAAGTCTAAATGTGGAATTAGTGGCTTCCATTATTTGGATCTTAAATTGGGACTTTGCCGTGATCAAAATGTTTTAAACTTAAGTACTCCACTACTTTTCAAGTCAAAATGTGGAATTAGTGGCTTCCATTATTTGGATCTTAAATGGGGACTCGCCGTAATCAAAATGTTTTGTAGTTAAGTGCTCCACCACTTTTCAAGTCAAAATGTGGAATTAGTGACTTCAATTATTTGGATCATAAATGGGGACTATTTTTATTCTCACATTGGTCCTACCAGACATATTTTTACTATTTTTATTTTCTGAATATGTTTTCCAATTAATCTACCAGACGTATTTGAATCCTGAAAATGTAAATTCGTTTTCTCATTTTCGTTCTTATAAAATATTTTCAGAAAACATTCTCAAAAAACGTTACTAAATGAGCCCTTAATATTAATGATTTTGGAAAAGAAAGAAATAAAAAATCAACGTGGTGGGGTACTCATTGATGCAAGACTTTCATTGGGAAGAAAAACTTGGAGTTTACTTTTCAAGTCTTCAGTGGGAAAGTTCAATTGGACCATTGATGTCAGAAAGTCAGTCAACGGACTTGTAATGTTAATGCCACATGCATTTGTCCATTTTCCATCTGCATCTAACATGTTCATTATCCACCATTGGTTTGGTCCCACGTTTGTTGTACTCAACAATATTTTTGAGACATGAGACCTCACAAAATTTTACGCACCAATGTAAGCAATATTAACTACATATGTGCTCGAACTTGTTGAACATGTAATAATTCTAGTCTAAATTGGGGGAGTTGGATATTAGATACTTTATTCAAGGGACATAAGATATTTCATTATTATTATTATTATTATTTTGGTTGAAAATTTGGGAATCCTATCATTTGTAAATCAGTTGGTAATAAAAAGTTATTATACAAGTTGGTGTCCGTTGCATATTGATACTTTTTTTCTTTTTCAATCGACCAATAGAAAGGTGGTCTCCATAACTCTTATACTCTTTAAGATACTCGAAAAGGTAATTAGAGCATTCCCATTGGAGAAAAACTTCATTAGAGAGAGCCTAGCCATGTAGCAGATTGACTGGCAGGTTATACCAAGTTAAATGAAATGTATATTTTAGAAAGTACATGTCACTAATGTGGCCGTAAGGTAAGGAATTCCCTACCCAAGTGTTTCTCTTCCAATTGATTTTAAGATACCAAAAAATTTCGAAACAACTAGGCTCCAACAACGTTAATTTAGACCAAACTAAGTATTCGGCAAAACTTTCTTATTTAAAGAAAAAATATACTTTGAGGTTGGAGATCATAAATCTTGAATGATTTGGAAAAGGTAAAGTCGCACTGTTAAAGAGTTCGGGTTACTCAAGACTCCTTCAAAATCAGTCCAGAGCCAATAAAAAAAGATATCATATCAGTTGCTTTCCAAAAATTTTGGAGTTTTCCTTTACGTCTAAATTGGATAGGAATTGGGGACTGGGGACGCATGCATTGAAATTTCAAAATGTGGAATTAGTGGCTTCAATTATTTGGATCTTGAATGGGGACTTCGCCGTAATCAAAACGTTTTGAAGTTAGGCCATCTCCAGTCATGGGCTATATCCCAAATATAGCCCTAAAATAATGCAAAATTCATCTCCAGCCATGGGCTAAATAAAATTTTGGCCAAATTTGGTGGGCCACATTTGGCCATTTAGCCCTCCAACTGGGCCAAATGTAGCCCAACTTTGGCCTATGCCAAATTCATAGTGGGTCCAACTATGTGCTTTTCAATCACCAAACATTAAAGCACTCCCCACTTCCCTTTCTCAAAATAATAAAATATGAATGACCCTAAAATATAGCCCTGCATGACTGGAGATGGAAAAATTTAGCCATGCACTATTCTTTAAAAAATTAATATTTTGGGGGGCTAAATTTTTAGCCATGGACTACATTTAGCCTTATGGCGGGAGATGACCTTAAATGCTCCACTACTTTTCAAGTCAAAATGTGGAATTAGTGGCTTCAAGTGTTTGGATCTTAAATGGGGATGCTGCCGTGATCAACACATTTTGAAGTTAAGTGCTCCACTACTTTTCAAGTCAAAATGTGGAATTAGTGGCTTCAATTATTTGGATCTTGAATAGGGACTTTTCCCTTATACTAAAAACCTGGCCCCACCGATTAGAATGATTGTTTCGGAACATGCACTGAAATTTCAATTAGAACTTATAAATAAATACTAATTGTACGTACGACATTGATAATATATGTTGCACTCAATAATATTTTTGTAAAATAAAAGGATGCACGATTTAGTTCAATGGTCTTATGATTTCAATAAAAATAATGAAGGCATCCGGATTGACGCACGACTCAATGATCCTCAGATGAAAGTGCTGGGTGAAATCGCCCATTTGGCGGGTGCCCATTTAGAGTTAAACTATTTTTAAACAATTTAATAAGGCTATGAACTCAAAATTTGAGTTGGGAGGGTTGAGTGAAAAAACTGTTTGAGGCTAGGCAATACATAGTTGTATTTTGAAGGATGGAAGTCTGAGTTTATACCCTTTAGACCATCTCCAACCATGTTGGGCTAAACTCAAATTTCCACCATCCAAAATACAACTATTCATGTATTGCCCGAACTCAAACTGTTTTTTCCTCCAACCTTATAGACTCATAATTTTTCTTAATAATATATTTGTTTCAACATTCATGATTTATTTTTCCAAACATTTTGATCTAAAAAATTAAAATTTCACATACATAATTTAAAACTTTTAGCATAAAGTCAGTCAACGGACAATGATAATATGCAGAAAGTCAGTCAACGGACTCGTAATACTGCTTCCACATGCATTTGTCCATTTTCCATCTGCATCTAACAAGTTCATTATCCGCCATTGGTTTGGTCCCATCTGTTAAATTCAATCCATCTGCGTCTAGCTTGATGATATGTGGGGTTCTTGCATAACCGATTTAATTCATCTCAATATCATTATTAAGGACGAGAGTTTTATCAATTTGATTAAGTTACAATACATTCTCAACCCATAATAACTTATAAATAAATGCACCAATTGTAGGTACGACAATGATAATATATGTCCTATGTTTTATATGCATGGTAAAAACGTTGTTGCACTCAACAATATTGTTGTAAAATAAAAGGATGCATGATTTAATTCAGTGGTTGTATGATTTCAATAAAATAGTGAAGGTAACCGGATTTACGCACGACTCAATGATCCTCGGATGAAAGTGCTGGGTGAAATTGCCCATTTGGCCGGTGTGCGATCAAGAATTTTTTTGGAATTAATAATATATTGTAAATTGATTGACACAGTATGGGAATTGCTCGATTAGTTTTTTAGCTGACAGAAGAACATCATTGATTGAAATCAAGGGGTACAATCACATCGTTCTCAAAAAAGGATTCCGTCCAGGGAGGAACATCTCCATCTCAAATAAGGCCATCTCCAATGGGGAGGGCCAAATGTCAAAATTTAGCAATATAGCCTAGATGGAGCCCTAGATATAGGGCTAGGTGAAATATCAATACAGTCCATATATTGGGTGGAATAGCAGTCCACCTTTTGTCTGGACTGCACATCCACAGAACAGCCTGTGACCATTCATGCAATGGGCTTTACTTAGCAGGTCCCATGCCACCGACACCTGCCAAGAAATACATGATGGTCGTCGTCACAGACTACTTTACTAAATGGATCGAGGCTGAAGCTCTATCCTCTACTAAAGAAGCCGGCGTGGAGTGATTTGTTTGGAAGAACATTATGTGCTGATTCGACTGCCCATAGTCACTGGTCACAGACAACAGATCACAGTTCATTGGTAGGAAGATCACCACATTCTTTGCAAAGTATGACAACAAGCAGCATCTGTCAACTCCTAGATATCCGCAAGGCAACGACCAAACACATGTATCTATCAAGATCATGCTGGATTGTCTTAAGAAAAGACTATAAGGCGCCCAAGGAAAATGGGTCGATGAGTTGCCTGGAGTCCTATGGGCCTATCACACCACCAAAAGAAGAGCAACTGGAGAAACCCCATTTTCCCTCGCCTACAGAATTGAATCAATCATTCCCCCTCATACTTGGATCGTTAAACAGCCTTGTGATAGGTGTCAAACTTGGCCAGAAGTTTGTCACAACTTTGGGATATGTCAGCATTCTTGCGTTCAAGACGGAAGTAGACCTCTTTGCGACATACAGGGCAGCAACAGAAGAGTTGAGTTCACTATCTTTTTTAGCAAGGGAACTCTTCAACACAGACATGCTCTCCTTTATTTCAGACATCCTAGTTACATGGTGGATATGCTCGGTCGAGAGCTTGCCAGTCAGATTAACATTCTTCTTTTCCAACTCTAAGAGCCATTAGCTTGATGATATGTGGTGTTATTCTTACATAACCTATTTAAGAGTTTTATCAATTTGGTTAAGTTACAATACATTCTCAACCCATAAGAGCTTATAAATAAACCTAATAATTCTCCGTACAACATTGTTATATATATGTCCTATGTTTTACATGCATGGTAAAAACGTTTATTGTAAACAATATTTAAAAAAAAAAAAAAAAAAAAAAAAGAAAGATGCACGAGACATGAAACCCCACAAAATTTTACTTAATTAAGATGGTAAAAATTTAGGACTCCAAGCCAAGCAATTGCCTCTTTTGACTATGTCACGTTATCTACTATTAGAGTACGATTTCTTATGTATTAATTTCCAACTAGAACAGGAAGTCATGGAGCATATAAATAGTAGGTTTAAACGTGACTTTTGGGGGAGAAAAAAATGAGTTCAGACACCATGAAGTACCGAGAGAATTTTCTGAGGGCTGGTATCACGACTTGGAGTTTGGGTTGCTGTGGAGTTCTTGAAGAATTCTAAGGTGCTGGCGTGGAGTGGAGTAGAGATCAAGTCTTTAATTGGGTTATTTTAATGACACTATTTATCATGGTTTTTATTAAAATAGTTGTGGGAACAAATATTTCGGTAACCAATTATGAGGCACTACGTGGACAATGAGAATATTCCTTGGGTCAACAATTGCACTCCACTTAATTAGTCAATTGTTTAGACTAAAGATAGGGATATTCTCAGAAATTAGGAATTTGATTTTCATTAAATCTCCCTTATTGATCCAATCTCTCCATTTAAAAGAGAGAATAATTCCCTTCCATTATAATTTGAGCGCACGTAGTGGAGATCTGTTTTTTACATTCATCCACTGTTTTCGATTTTGAAGCCTTTGAGTTTGGAATTGTGATAGAAGATGCGGGGGAGAGTGCAACTCCAACACATCCATTCTAAACTTGTGTACTCTTTTGCCTACAAACACAAGCTTATGGCAACAACCATCTGTTACAGTCCCACCTTTGAAACTACTTCCACTAACTTCTGAACGCAATTAATGGAGATATGTTTTTTACACTCATCCAAGATTTTCGAATTAGATGTCTTGAAAGTTGGAATTGCGAAAGTTGTGAAAATCATTCTTGATGGGCTCGCCAAAAGAAAAATGACCAACATTGGATACATATTTAGTGCGGCCATAGTGCTTTTTGGTACGACTTAGTTTATATTTTTTTTGGGAAAGGCAAAGAATTATTTGATGGAGTTCAATTTTAAGAGTTTCTTTATTTATAAGGGTTTGCAATAATCTGAGTTACTTGGAATATGAAAACGCTTAGTATCTCATAAATAATAAACAATTTAATTCCTCTTGATTTTTGTTGAGGCCCAAAAAATCCAAGGCTGGGCCCAAATATAATCATGGCCCAGTGCGATACTTTACTGAGACGAAACCTGATTTTAGCAGGCGAAAGTTCATCATACAAGCCCGCACGAGTCACAGTCTACATGCCACACCAAACAAATATATAATCAATCACGCTAACAGTTGTAACAAACCTGTAAAATGTACCGGCTCTATGAACTCATACTAATTATCCCATCCAGCGTCATTTTGACTCAACCATAGCCCTTTACAAAACGATAAAATTCGAGTACGAGCACGCTAATCGACATGCAATGCCAAGCGGAAAACCTTCATTTTGCACCTAGTCACGCTACAAGCTTAAGTGGGCCCAAGCCACCCTAATGCCCAGGGCTTGCTGAGTGGGTTGTGGTATAGATGGTTACGAGCATTCACGAGGTCCATTGATGAGCCAAGAAATGGAAGTTTTGGGCTGCTTGGGAGCTCCAAAATTCGAGCCAATTTCTTGAGCCCAAATATATGGGTAAGCATGAAAGAGAGAAAAGATAGCCCATCACCTTAAAAAGTTGGCTCATCATCTTATTAAATTAACCCATCACCTTGGGAGTAGCCCAAACAACCTAGAAAATATCTTAGGAAAGTCTCCAACACATGGCCAAGACAAACACAAGATGGAGCATCTAAAAAACCAAAGGATACTTGCATATGCAGGCTGCTGGGAGTCTCTAGCACATGGGCAAAGACAAACCACGATAAATCACCTGAAAAACCAAAGGATCGTTGCGTGTGCAGGCTGCTAAGAGCAAGACACCCTTTAGACAAACACTGTTATCCATTTCTTTCTCCTACCATCTCTTGCAATGAAATAAGGGAGGAAAGAAAGAGAGATGGTATCCAAAGATAGGAGATTGCCACTAGAACAACTGCGGGAAGGCTCTAGAGCTCCCAAAAATCTTGTCTCTATGTATTTGGATTGGGGAGGATTTCAAAAAATGGGAATGAATCAAAGGAAGAGAAGATTAATGGAAGGGAGACTTGGCAGATGCTTTAGTCAAGCTGCCGGAAATTTGCTAAAGCCATCGATTCTTCTTCCTTCATTTTTTCCTATTTTCCCTCAACAAATCTTCTCAAAATTCCCTCTCCCCCTTTCTTCGAGCCTTTGTTGTTAGGATTTTGGCTCGTCAAATATGTCCTAGTTGGTTTAGGATTGTTTTAGGAAAATTAGAGGTATACCAATTCTTGTCCTAGAGGACTTAGGAAAGAATTTCAGTTTTCCTTATTCAATTTAGGTTTGGATTTCTAGAAGTCTATTAGGATTTGGATAAGTGTAAATTACTAATCCACTTAGGAATAGGAATTCAATCAGCCTTGGGACATGTAAGCCAACTCTATATCTATAAATAGGGTGCAGCATGGCTTATTTTACAGCAAGGGAAAAAACAGCCAGAGACAGCCAAGAGTTTTGAGATTAGTTCTAGGGTTCCAAAAGTTCTGTAATCTCTATTATTAATCAAAGGAGCGATGATTTCTCTACCTAGAGAAATCACAACTAGACGTCGGCAAAAGTTCTGCCGAACCAGTATAATTCTTGTGTGTTTCTAAGTTTTCTAATATTTGCTAGTTTAGTCTATTGCCGTTGGTTACATTAAAGAACAAGATCTAGAAGGCGGGTTATTTAACAAGTGGTATCAAGAGCCTACGTTAAGGGTTCTATAATGTCTAAAGGGAAGATGAATGCGGATCTAGGACCTGCGTTAAAGCCCTTTGACGACAAGGATGACTTCACGGATTGGCAAAGGATGATGAAGAACGTACTGATACAGCAAGATTTGGATGATGCACTCAGTGGTGAGAAGCCGACAGGCATGACAGACGCAACATGGACCAAGGTTCTCAAGAAGGCCAAGAGTTCCATCGAGATCCATCTCACAAGATCAGTTCGGTCACACATCATCAAAAAGATGACTGCCCAAGAAGCATGGGAAAAGTTGGAGAATGTTTATATGGGCAAAATCGTGTCTAATAAATTTTTTCTAAAGGATGAACCATTCGGACTTCGACTGGAAGAAGGAGGTGATATTGAAGATCACGTATGCAGGTTCCAGAATTGCATAACTAATCTTCAGAAGGTCGAAGAAACTTACAAAGATGATGATATGGCTATCATCTTGCTGAGGTCTCTACCTTCATCTTTCAAGAACTTTCAAACAACTCTAATGTTTGGAAAAGAGTCCCTGAAGCTTGAAGACGTGATTCAAGCTCTTCAGTCATATGCTAAACTAGATGATATAACTGAAAGCTCTCAAGGCCTTTATGCCAAAGGCAAGGAGAAGGGGCGGGAAAAGACAAAGGAAGAGAAAATAGGCAACAGAGGTAGGTCAAAATCCAAGAAGAAAAAGGAAAAGAAGGAAGGTTGCTTCAAATGTGGTTCAACCGATCATTGGAAGAGGAACTGCAAGATTTGGAAAGAGAAGAAAGCCAAGAGGGAAGGAAGCTCAGGTTCAGCTAGTGCAGTCACCGAGCATGAGAGTGACGGGAGCTTCTTTCAGTAACATCAGGCTCCAAGGCTTTCACAAATTGGATTTTGGATACCGGATGCACTTTTCATATTTGTGTAGTAAGAGAATGGTTCGATAATTACAAAGAAGTCAGCAGCGGGGAAGTTTTAATGGGGGACGATTCTTCATGTCCTGTAAAAGGAATCAGCACTGTCCGAATCAGAATGTTTGATGGAATGATACGAGTTTTGGGGAACGTTAGATATGTCCCTAGACTAAGAAAGAATTGATTTCCTTGGGTACTTTAGATGAGGCCGGCTATGGGTACGAGTCTAAAAAAGGAAGACTCAGGGTAGCCAAAGGATCACTGGTGGTAATGCGGGGTGACCTACAACCCAATAAGCTTTATAAGTTAATTGGGACCACTATAGTCGGGGGAGCAGCTATTTTTGTAAATCAAGGTATAGAAGAAAAGACTAAACTCCGGCATCATAGGCTCGGGCACATAAGCCAGAAAGGGTTGCAAGAATTACACAAGCAAGGCCTGTTGGAAGGCGTGTCATCTTGTAAACTGGACTTTTGTGAATATTGTGTTCTTGGAAAGCAAAGGAAGGTATCATTCACGAGTAGCAGTGCAGATGTTTGGGGCCCTGCACCAACCAAATCAAATGGTGGAGCCAGGTATTTTGTTACTTTCATGGATGATTTTTCTAGGAAGGTTTGGGTTTATTTCATGAAGCAGAAATCCGAGGTTTTTGCAAAGTTCAAGGAATGGAAAACAGAAACCGAGAATCAAACTGGAAGAAAGATCAAGTACCTGAGAAGTGACAATGGAGGTGAATATACAAGTAATGAGTTTACCAATTATTGCAAGCAAGAAGGCATCACAAGGCATTTCATAGTAAAGAAGAATCCCCAACAAAATGGAGCTGCTGAGAGGATGAACTGAACTCTCATGGAGAGAGAGAAAGAGAGAGGAGCATGCGATTTCATGCAGGATTGCCTGATAGTTTTTGGGCAGAAGCTGTTAATCATGCAAGTTATTTGATTAACAAATCACCATCTACAATTCTCGGTTTTAAGAGTGCAGAAGAGGTATGGTATGAGAAGCCGGTGGACTATTCCAAGCTCAGGGTATTCGACTGTAGTGCTTATGCACATATTCCAAGCGATGAAAGGTCCAAGCTCAAACCAAAGTCTACACATTGCATATTCTTAGGTTTTGAGAAAGGAGTGAAGGGTTTCAAGCTTTGGGATATCAACAACAGGAAAAGGTTGTCAGTCGAGATGTTGTCTTTGATGAGACAACCATGCCTCTAAATAAAGTTGAGAGCAGTAGGGAGAAGAAATACGATGCTGAAATTGAAGCAACAAAAATTCCGTTAATCAGTTCAGACGAAGAAGAAGCTCAGGTGGAGCAAATTGAGCAAGATACCGAATCTGATGGTTTTTAGGAAGAAGATGAGCATCAACATCGTTCACCAGTTAGGAATCAGGTGGAGCAAGAAACAGGGCAGATTGAAGGCACTATAATCCGCCAGACATCCCAAAGGGTTCGAACTCCAACCAATAATCCACCTGCATTCCAGAGATGCATAGCACTGGACAAACCTAATCGGAACAAGAAGAAACCTGATAGATTTGGGTTTGGCCAAGACGAAGTTAATTATGCTCTCAACATTAGTCAAGGAGATCCAACTACTTATCGAGAAGCTATAGCAAGTGATGAGCGAGATAGTTGGATAAGTGCTATGACAGAAGAAATGGAGTCTCTTTACAAGAACTCTGTTTGGGAGTTGGTTCCTAAGCCCAAAGATAGAAAGCTAGTTGGATGCAAGTGGGTATTTAGGAAAAAAGAAGGACTACATGAACAATATGCCGTGAGATTCAAAGCAAGGCTCGTGGCTAAAGGGTACTCACAAAAGGAAGGGGTGGATTATGATGAGATTTTTTCACCCGTAGTCAAGCATACTTCTATCAGATTGCTTTTAGCAATGGCAACTCAGCATGACATGGAGATTAAGCAGATGGATGTGAAGACAGCATTTCTTCATGGGGATCTAGAGGAGACAATTTTCATGGCTCAACCAGAAGGGTTTGTTGAATATGGGAAAGAGAACCTAGTATGTCAGCTAAGGAAGTCCTTGTATGGCCTGAAACAGTCTCCAAGACAGTGGTACAAGAGGTTCGATTACTTCATGCTGAAAATCAATTTTAGAAGATGTTTATATGACTGTTGTGTGTACTATCATGTGTTCCAAGATGGGATGATCATATTGCTATTGCTATATGTGGATGACATGCTAATCGCTTGTCAAGACAAGTCTAGAATTCAAGACTTGAAGAAGATGTTGAGCGAGGAGTTCGACATGAAGGATCTAGGTGCAGCACAGAAGATCCTTGGCATGGAAATTCAAAGAGATAAGACTGCTGGAAGGATCTGGATATCACAAGCCAAGTATATTGAGAAGGTTCTTGAGAAGTTCAACATGCAAGAAGCAAATGTGGTTTCGACTCCTTTGGCAGCTCACTTCAAGTTAAGTGGGCAATAGTGTCCTAAGTCCGAGGAAGAGCAGCAAGTAATGGAGAAGGTGCCTTATGCTAATGTCGTGGGCTGCCTCATGTATGCAATGGTATACACACGTCCTGACATAGCTCAAGCAATCAGTGTCGTTTCCAGATACATGGCAAATCCAGGAAAGCAACATTGGGATGCAGTCAAGTGGATTTTTCGTTATTTGAAGGGTTCTTGGCGACAAAGGATTATGTTTGAGAAGCAAAAAGAAAATGCAAGGGTGCTGGGATATGTGGATGATGATTATGCAGGGGACTTGGACAAGAGAAGGTCAACTTCTGGTTATGTGTTTACATGCGCAGGAGGACTGATCAGTTGGAGAGCACTACTACAACCAATTACAGCTTTGTCGACCACAGAGGCAGAGTATATTGCATTGGCCGAAGCTGGAAAGGAAGCAATTTGGCTTAGTGGCTTGGTAAGTCAAATGGGAATCACCCAAGATTGTGTGAAGCTAAAGTGTGATAGTCAAAGTGCCATTCACTTGGCAAAGAATCAAGTTTTTTTTCTGAAAGATCAAATCACATTGAAGCAAGATATCATAGAATCAGAAATTGGGTGGAGTCTAAGGAGATTTCGATTGAAAAGATTCATACAGATGACAATGCCGCAAATTTCCTTACAAAGATAGTGCCGGCCAAGAAGTTCAAGCATTGCTTGAACTTGATCAATCTCGTTGATTGATTAAAGTGGAGCACCTCCCCACTTGAGGTGCAATGAGGCAAGAAGAAGATTGCCAAGGTGAAGACTCTTGAAGATTTCCAGAGCTGCTTCAAGGAGGTTCAAAGATACTCCGGGGTGCAACAATCAAGACTTGGTTTGACTCACCAAGGTGGAGATTGTTAGGATTTTGGCTCGTCAAATATGTCCTAGTTGGTTTAGGATTGTTTTAGGAAAATTAGAGGTATACCAATTCTTGTCCTAGAGGAATTAGGAAAGAATTTCAGTTTTCCTTATTCAATTTAGGTTTGGATTTCTAGAAGTTTATTAGGATTTGGATAAGTGTAAATTCCTAATCCACTTAGGAATAAGAATTCAATTAGCCTTGGGACATGTAAGCCAACTCTATATCTATAAATAGGGTGCAGCAGGCTTATTTTACAATAAGGGAAAAAATAGCCAGAGACAGCCAAGAGTTTTGAGATTAGTTCTAAGGTTCCAAAAGTTTTGTAATCTCTATATTAATCAAAGGAGCGGTGATTTCTCTACCTAGAGAAATCACAACTGGACGTAGGCAAAAGTTCTACCGAACCAGTATAATTCTTGTGTGTTTCTAAGTTTTCTAATATTTGCTAGTTTAGTCTATTGCCGTTGGTTACATTAAAGAACAAGATCTAGAAGGCGGGTTATTTAACATTTGTTTCTCATAGGATGCCCAAGCCTTCTCTCTCTAATACTAAACTCATGAATGCTCAGCTCCCATGCCACAAGCTTCTAAAGCCAAGCCTAAATATTTATCTGTACGCAACTGTTGGTTTTGTTGGTGAAGGAAACCAAGGTGTTTCCTAAAGCTCCACAAACCTTTTGAAGTACTCTTGGGACTTGATTCTTAAACTCAGACACAGGGGCAACTCCACCCACTGGCGGACCTAGTAAGGCGCAAGGAGGTGTAGCTGCACCTCCCTTCGCTGAAAAAACCATTTTAGGTGCTTCAAATTGTCCATTTGCTCAACTGGTGTACAAATTACCTTATTTCCATTTTCAACAATTAAGTAAATGTCTTCGTCCTTTTACTTTATTTATTTTTATATTACTCCATTTACTTAAGTTTACAACGTAAATAAGGAAGTACCCCCCATTTGAATTCAAATAAAAACACTAGAAAATCAAATTCCCACCAAATCAAAATATGAAAATTCGGTTTTAGTGCAAAATACAATTTAGGCTAAAAATGATAGCTCATTAAGTAAATATATACTTCATACTAAAATCCCATAAAATCAAGTTTTCTTATTTGATGTGTAAGGAATAAAAGCCGCTAAAAATTATCTTGAGAAAATAATTATTCCCAAAAACCATTTTTCATACTTAGTCAATATTGCACCTTCACTAAAAATGTTTTGGGTCCGCCAGTGACTCCACCCATTTGTTCTTTACTACAGCCCAGGCCCATCTGTAGTTGCGGAAACGAAAAAAGCCCTCACAATTTCAAAGACAAGAGTTTCTTTAACTTACTTAAGTTACAATACATTTCCAACCAATAACCGCTTATAATTTAACTTTACTAATTAAAAACTTTGTTGTCCTAGACAATGTTTTTGTACAACAACAAGAAGCACTATTTAATTAAGTATTTGTTGTTTTATGATTAAAAATAAAATAGTGAAGTGTATTAATCAGAATTACTGTGTGTGACGACGTGGGATCCTTAATTATCCTAATTATTCTTTTTTAAATGACCTTTTCTATTGAGATGAGCGATAATATACTAAACTCGCACACGACACATGCATACTAGGACTCAAACCTAGAACTTTGCATGAAAAAGCAATTGCCACTACACTAATGGGTCCTTTGCAAATTATTCGTTTTTATAAGGCAATGAACATGACATTACAAATTTTTTATTTTAATTAAAAAACAGTAAAAATTTATGGCATTACAAATTGAATAATATTATTGTTCATTTCAAGAAAATTCATTTTAGTAAACCAATTCAATTATAACTGGCTACATTTGTCTCTGAACAACGGATTGTAACGTAAATGTGTAGCAACTACGCAAGTTATGACAACAACATACAACTAATTGAATCAATAAAATCATGCTCATAAGTTTTCATATATGAGTTTAGACGGTAAAGATAACGTGATTTTATTTTATTTTATTTCTTGTTGGGTATAATGCGAGCTAAACATTATGTTGTTTGTTTGGAAGAATGGGGAGCTAAAGCTCAAACAATCAAGATGAAACTAAAAAAAGTATAGGCTTAAGAACCAATCCCCGAAAAACCAAGAATTATTATAGGGAATAGTTAATCCCATGCCCATTCATTCTCTCCCCTATGCCAAACTTTCCCGATTCAGTCCACTAGGTAACTCAAATAGTGCACGCAAAGATGGAGAACCAATGGCAAAGTAAGAGAGAATGACCGGTTTGTAATTAACCAAGGTATAGCATTGTAATAGAACAACTTATACTAACTTTTGCAGTATCATCGGCCACCTGCAAGCAAAAGGAAAAAGAAAGAAAGAAAGAAACTAAGCTCGTCGAAAAACCTATATGGCATTGGTAAGTAAAATCATCAACTCTTACATAAAGCACGAACTAGCACTAACGAAAACACAAGGTATGGTTTTAATTCCAACAGTGAACTGCGAAAAACTTATTTACAGCGAGATCCTTTTAGTCTGGATAACCAATAAATTATTTAACAAAAGAGCCAAGAGTAGATCAGATACATAAACCAAAATGCAAAATAATAGATCAAAATAGACCGACTGACTGAACTGTAATACAGATCAAACAGGACAAGCAAAAAAAGGAGAAAGACAGAAATAATACCCCATGGGCTTAGAAGCCCATTATAAGCTTGCACTTCTAACTTTATCAATATTGCTAATCTTATACTTGATAACTACCACTGTTTCTTGAACAACAGCGTGCCCATCTTAGTACAAAGTTAGACTCAGATGTATCCATGCATGCCTCTCTTTCCACATGGTAAACATGGGCGACTGATGCAACCTTCACCAAGAAGGTGAAGTCACTACTTAGGACTCAATCTCTTTGCTGCCTGCCTAATTTACAGAAACGAAATTTATTTAACTTAAACTTTACCTGCGGAAGAGCAACCAAAGAACAAATTATTTGTAATTTGAAAAAAATCATCTATGATAGAAGTGAAGAGCATCCTACCCATCAGCCAATGAATATGCAAGACACTCCCCACAAGTAACGGCAGTCTGTAGCCATTCAAGTGTGATTGCTTCATTATCTCAATCAATCTCTATAATCTTGGAACTGCCTATTTTATGTTTTACCATTTGTATAATTTACCCTGTTTATATTCATGTACAAAGTCAGCATATAAAGGAAATCCAATACAACCAGAATACTCATCTACGATATTCTACAAGAAGTCTCAGGATCATCTACGATAGAAGTAAATCTCAGGCACATCTAGCATTATAAGCCATTATATCTGATTCCAGAGACTTCTTTGTAAGCAACTGTTAGCGGCAGAGTAAAAAAGAAACAAAATAAGGGGTGGGTACAAGAACTCATTTAATGCCAAATGCACTCTGAGTGGTCTCAAACCCTACAAGGATTCAAGAAAACTGATTTCTTGCTAGTAAACCAGGACTACATTTTGCAAATATCCACCCTTGTGCCATTGAATTGACAAACTAACTCGTCCAAACTTTGTTTCCTCTGACTCTGAGCACAAGGCATATCTCTTGAATTTAACACCAATTATAAACCTTAGTTTGTTTTGTGGGTCAGTCAGACCCCTATCCAAACAAATTTATCTAGAAAAGACTGGGTTACCGTCCCTGCTGTCATCAAGGCCGACAACCTTGTATTTCTTTTTATAACCAGTTTTCTATTCTTCCCTGTCAACACTGGACCTTGCACTGAAACTATGAGTCAGTGACCTTGTACTAAAAACCCTGCTCTTCCTTACCTTTCTACTTTGGAGAATGTCATAAGAACTGCCAATTATAGTGCCCTTGGAACTAGAAGGGCCTTTCATTGTTTCAAAAGTTCCATCTGCAAAATTGTATCTATCACATCCAATTTCTTCCTTAGTTGTTGAAAAGTTAATTGACCATCAGTTCATTCTCCGTTCCGATTCATTCCTTCTCAGATACTACAAAACGTTTCTAGAAATGGTGATTACTGAAATCCAAGATGACCGATTTCTGAGCCTGGGTCAACAAGCCTTTCAACGTTTTTCCAACAGGGGTAAGTGTCCAAATCCTTAAGAATCCAGGATAACTGACTCTGTGATTGGCAATTTCCTCTTACAAGAATTACACTTCGCAGGCAAAGGCATTTAACCTTTATTTGAGCAAAACCACATAAAATTGGCCAGCCAATTCATGTAAAAGAATCAACTTAAAGACACATTTTAGCAAAGAAAAATTTCAATATAGATGCATCACTGTCGTACTAGCCAAGAAACCTGAACTCCTGTTACACATTGAAACTCTCTAGCTCTAACAACACAACTTCATCTACTCTAAAACTTAGCATTTTAGTAGCTACGAAGATTTCATTTCCCAATTGAACACTTTCGTCACGTCCTCAGCACTTGCGTCTGGATTTCATATGAAAGGCATTTCAGGAAACCAAAAAATGGCAGAGAAATAAATCGAAAAAATAGCAACAAAACAAGCATGAAATTTAACGGACATGAAGCTCCGAATAAACACCATTTCAATTTCTTAAAAAACCCATTTCCGGAAACACAAAAATTGAAAACAAAAAATGATAAAAGCAATGGAGAGGAAGAACTTAGAAACGCACCGGTTCGGTGGCTACCAAGACGCTTTCTAATGCCATTGAGCATGCCTTTAGAGGCCAGAGTACGAAAGACGATACGGGACATACGGAAGGTCTCGTAGACGGCGCGTGCGCGGCCGGAGAAGATGCAGCGGTTCCTGACGCGCGTAAAGGAGCTGTTTCGGGGCAGCTTGGAGAGCTTGAAGCGGTTCTCCTCGCGCAGGTCGCTGGGAAGGCTTGGATCCTGGCAGAGGGCCTTGTACAGATTTCGTCTCAGCTCGTATTTCGCCGCCAGCAACCGGCGATGGTGGTCTCGGATATTGGCATTTTCCTCAGAAACTGACATTTCTTCCTTTTGTGTCGAATGCTAGCAAACTCGGTTTTTGGTAGGGTTTTAAGTCACGGCTTATTGTGAACTGTTTTTTGGCAAAAATTAATTTTAAAAAGGGCTTTTTGGGAATAAATTTCCATATTTTTTTCCCCCGAAAAAGAGCTAATATTATTATAACTGAACGCTGACTCTGGCATCAACTTCTAAGGTATTAATAAACAGCCATTCGGGAGGAACAAAATCCCAATGATGGATACCACCATTCTTACGTACAAAAGATGCAACCTCATGAGCAGTTTTATTACGACTGCGAGGGGCATGAATAAAAATCACCTCTTGGAGTTCTCTAGTCATAGCCTGGATATCGAAAATCAAACCGCCGACCTCCGCATCCACTAGCCTTCTCCGTTCACCATTTGGATGGCGATTAGAGAGTCAGATTCCACCATGACACGAGCAAAACCTCCGTGCTGGCAAGCAATCAACACTGCACGGATAGCATCTACTTCAGCTGCAAGAGCATACCCATACTGTGAATCTCCTTGACCTCCTGCTTGCGTCATCCAACCTATGAAGTCTCGAATCACCCACCCAACACCTCCCATATTTGTTTGCACCACCCAAGCCCATCACAATTTGCTTTCACAAAATCATATCGGGGTTTTTCCCATACCGCCTGAACCTGTTGACCTTGTTCAGGGGGTCTAGGTATCTCGTTAATCCATGGAACCTTGGGCAAGACAGCCTCCCGATATTCCCACACCTACGCTACTATTATACTAGATGTATCACTCGGGTTAATTTGTAATCCTGGAATACTGTAGAGTTACGACATTTCCATATTCGCCAAAGCCCATAAGCAATTGCAGAAGCTCCTCAAACTGCTCATAACCAGCATATTTTCATATCTAAACCCCAATTTCCATATCTAATCCCACGAGATAGGAATGAAGGATATTCATTCCCATGTTTGAGAACTCTGGGAAATGAGGACTAAGAATAGGAAATGCAATTATCTCCAATTCCCATATTTTGTTAGGGGGAGCGGATCCACTAATTGTTGGCCCGTCCCTATCCCACATAACAGATTCTAAAACTGTTAACTCATCTTAAAATAATAATAATAAATAATATTCTGCAGAGCAGCCGAACCAAAACCCAATCCACCACCTCTCTCTCTCTCTCTCTCTCTCTCAATGTTTGAAAGAATTTCACGGTGTGGTGTAGCAAACCCACATCTTATCTTGCTCAAAGATGTTGGAGACACCACAGTCTTTTGCTTTTTCTTTGTTTATTGGATATGGAAGTTTCTTTAGCCGTGAAAGGAAATTAGAAGTTTGTTGATGCTCTTTTTCGGAGAGGGTCAACTTAGAGAAAAAGGGATTTGCCTTTAGCAGGGAAAGGGTCTGGGCCTTCAATAAAGGCTAGCCTGCAGAAGACAAAAATAGGGGAAGCAGTCGTCAATCTCCGGGCACCGGTGTGGTGCCGGCCGAAGGCTCTCCGATGCTTAAGTCAGCTAAGAAGGGTAACTTTTGCAGAGTAATAGTAAAAGGCAGAAAAGTAGTTACCCCTCTTACTAGGGTACTGTTCCCTTTTATAGGGAAGTGAAAGTGGGAGGTTGGTGTAGATTTCCGATGTGGGACTCTGTGCAAGTCGCCGCGGTGGTGACACGTGTCATGAGAATTAGGTTTAACAGTTTGTGAGCTTTGGCAGTCGGGAGTTTCGGCAGGTGCTTGGCACCTCGGAAGAGTGTCTTCCTTCGGCAGGAGAGAAGGCGTGTCTGCCTTGGTGCTAGTTGTTTTGAGACTGGATATGCTCGGTTGATTATGGTGTAAACAGAAGTCATACCTGCTACAAAATAAGAGCAAAAAAGTTGTGGTGGAGGATGGCAAGATGATAACCAAAAAGGGTTTTAAAATGATAACAAGCCATGTCAACGAGACAATTTCAACATGATCTACACATATCCCAACCTTTTTTTCCCTTCTTGCTCTTAAATTTTTCTTGGCCTTCAAACTTATCCAACTCTAATTTTCATCTCATAGGTTATGAAATCATCTTCCAATCTAACATGGCCATGAAATCATCTTCCAAATTTCTCTTGCTCAGTGAAATAAATATACAAGAAAAAGACAAGAAAATGTGCATATATGAAAATGCTCGCTGGCAAAGTCCTTGTATTCAACGCTTTTTAATTTTTTAAATTGAAGATAATGATTCTTAAAGTTTGCGAAATTATCACATTTGGTCTTTATTACAAAACATCCCTAAGGTTTAGGAAACTATCAAATTGCATCTTTATTTTTATTTTTTTATTTTTTGTGTCATTCATGGTCCTCAAGATTAGTATTTGTAATCACAAATGGTCATTGCCGTTAGGTTCCGTCAAAAACTCCGTTAGTTTGCTGACGTGGCATATATATATATATATCACAAAACATCACTAAGGTTCATGCACCTATTATCACAAATGGTCCCATGAATTTTTTTAATTTTTTAATTTAAAATTCATACAATTTAAAAATGAAAAAACTAAGGGTTTAGGGTTCATAAATGGTCCTCAAGATTAAATTCTTCTATAAATGGTTTTTTCATTTATAAATAATTTAAAAAAGAAAACCAAAATTTTATGAATTTTAAATGAAAAAATAAAAGAATTTCGTAGGGACCATTTGTGATAGGTGTGTGAACCTCAGGGATGTTTTGTTATATATATATATATATACATATATATATATGGACAGAGAGTTTTCATTGAGAGATCCCTCAAATGCGATATTGTTTGACCACTCAATTGAGTTATTGAAATTTTAATACTTTATTGAAGCATTGTGTTCATTGATTTTGTAGGACACAATTGGATGTCGAAACGATTTCCGATTGGATCTAGGAATGAAGACCTAAAAAATAGATGGTTTGAATAATTGAAAATTTGTAGGGTACAGTAAAGGGCGTCCCTCAAATAAAATTATTTGAGGAATCCAAACTATAGAGTTTTTGACGGAACCTAACGGTAGGGACTAATCACACACTACCTTAACCATGTGAGGACAAAAAAGAGAAAAAAAAAATAAGGGAAGTGCATGCATGCTGATAGTGTCGTAAACCCTCGAGACGTTTTGTCATATTAAGCCTAGTGACATTATTGATTCTTTACGTTACACCTTACACATCCAAATTGTCATGCTGTGAGATTCCGTCAAAACTTATGTTAGATGATGACATGGCATGTGTGTGGATCCCACAAATTCAATAATAACATGCCATATGGATTTGAAAAAATGCTTAAGAAAATAACATTCATAAGAAATAGAAAACAAATTTAAACCTTAAAAAATAACCCCTCTCTCTCTCTCTCTGTGACAGGAGCATCTCCATAAATAACACCACCATGATTCTTATCAATCATGTGATTTCCTCCTAATAATTGGGTTATTGTATGATATGATGTTAGTAATAGTTTCCTAATATAGTTCTTTGCCCCCTAAACCAAAATCAACCTTCGCAACCCACATCCCCCTCGAGAAAAACTTCCCTGGCACGGGGATGTCAAGGTAACCTTTCCACATTAGTATCCTTAGCAAATTCAGAAGTGACACATGTCATCCATTTAAGACTTTGAAAAAAAAATCACCTCTACCACCCCTCATTCCTTACAACTCAAACCCCTCCCATTCTCTCTCTTCTCACCCACTCTTTCTCTCTCCTTACTACTCAAATCATCTCTTTTAAAAAATGCATTTTTTGTTATTCACACATCCAAGCCATTTCTCTTTCTAAATACAACCTCTATTCCCCACCATAGTTGCCTATGACAGTCGGCTCTGTCGTAAAATTCGGCACCCCATCCTCCATTCTTCATCCTCTGCGTCCCTCTCCCTCTCTACATCGTCGTCGGCATTTAGATCTGAGGTGGCTGCCCCGTGATCTTCCCCTTTACATCTGAGGTGGCTAGCCCACAACCTTGCCTCCATTGTTACCGGCAACAAGGGAGAAAAAAGGAAGGAGATATGAGAGGTAGAGAGCCAGTGAGATAAGAGAGGAAAATAGGGAGAGATGAGAGAGAAAGATAGATAATTTGAGTAGCTAGGGGAGAGAGAGAGAGAGAGAGAGAGAGAGTAGGTGGGAATAGAGAGAATATGAGGAATTTGAGTTGCAGGGGAGGAGGACACAGAGGAATGGCTGAGGTGATTTTTTTTTTAAAAGTCTTAAAAGAGTGACAAGTGTCACTTTTAAATTTGCTAAGGATATTGATGTGGAAAGCTTACCCTTGAACCAAACGGGCCCTTATATTATATCGTATATAGCTTCCTGAAATAAAAAAATCCCCTTAATGAAATAGAAGAAATGTTAGCTGATGTAGAACAGATGGCGGAAGCAATTGAGGAGGAGCTGGAGCGTCGCGCGCTCAAAGGCAAATCGTGTAAGCTTCATATTTGGGTTCCGAGCTCAGAATTAGGTCCATGACTTGTCGATTCGAAGAGAACGGCGCCACGAGTAAAACTCATTGCTTTGCCATGATGTATGGGCTTTTCCATGCATCCAGATCGTTTACTATCCCGAAATTCAGTTTTAAAGTTTTTACAATTTCTGGAAACTTTGTTGTTTTCCTACTTTAATTCCTTTGTTATTCCTAGGGTTTCTAAGAGTATTTACGCATAATTTACCCATGGTTAGGGTTATGTTTTTATTTCCAGTTTATCAAATAAACCTAAGGTTCTTCATATTTCCTAGTGGATTCCAGAGTTACAGTTTTAGGATAAGGTTTTAGCCTATCAATGTCACACTACGCCAGTTGGCATAAGAGCAGGTATGACCAGTTGGTGAACAACCAAGATGAAGGTGATAGGACCAGTGGAACAAGGGAAGTTGTTACTCGTGCCGAGTTTGAGACCCTCTTTGCAGCAGTGGAAGAGGTTCGGCGTTTATTGTTGGGCATAGGAATCTACTGAGCGTAATGAAGGTGCCCGAGTACAATGTCTTATTGTTGAGAGTGACAACGAGTCTGAACAAGAACTACAGGAACAGCCCTCGATCACACGTATCAGAATAATCGTAACCAATACATGGACGATTTTCGGATTAAGGATGATATTCCATACTTTAATGGCCACCTATAGATTGAAGACTTTCTTGACTGGTTGGTAGAGGTGGAGCATTTCTTCGAAATTATGGAGGTTCTAGAGACGAAGATGGTGAAGCTAGATGCCTTTGGTCTGAAAGGTAGTGCGGTTGTATGGTAGGACCAGCTTCAAAAATCACGGCAGCGGCATGGTAAGCAATGAAGACTTGGTGCCGTATGAAGCATGATAGGGAGATTCCTACCTGCTACCAATTATGAGCAGTACATGTATCGGCTATACCATAATTGCCACCAAGGCAATCAGCCAGTTTCTGAGTATACGAATGAATTTTTGGGTTTGACGAGTGCAATAATTTGGAGGAAACAGATGGTCAAATGGTCCCTAGGTATATCACTGGGTTGGAAAGTCTTTGTATGAGAAAATTGAGCTTTAGACTTTGTGGACAGCTCATGAGGCTCATAATATGGCATTGAATGTTGAATTTCTAGAGAAAGATAGGCGTACTGGGTCAGCACTAGTGGTATCAAAAAGAGAGTTATGAATCCTCTGCTCCCATCCATGGAGGAAAATAAGGGTGTGAAGTAGGTTCTTGGGGAGAGTGATAAGAATGATAAACAAAAGAATTTTACCCCATGTGACAAAGGTAGTAGCAGAAATTGGGGAAGAGATCACAACATAGGAGCAATCCGTATGCTAGAATGATGAATGATATTTGTTACAGGTGTTCCAAACCAGGCATCACTCTATGAGTGCCCAACCCATAACAACAAGTCAATCTAGCTTAGGAGACTGAAGATGGAGATGAGAAGGTAATTTCATGAAGATTATGAAAGAGCAAAATTTGCAGATGAAGATGGTGATGAGATGGTGAATTAGTGTTATAGAGAGTCCGCATATCCCCAAAACAAGAGGCAGGGCATACAACAGGCTTTTCCGTTCACTTTGATAATAAAGTGTGCAGTGTGATTATGGATAGTGGCAGTTGTGAGAATCTTGTGTTGAAGAAATTGGTAGATTATTTACAGCTCCCAACATAGAAGCATGAGTCTCCGAATGCACTGAGGTGGGTAAAGAAAGGACATGTGTTCAGGTGACAGAAGTATGCAAAGTTCCCATCTCCATTGGCAAGCATTATAAACAGAAAGTTTCATGTGACGTGATCGATATGGATGCTAGTCATATATTACTAGGGCGTCCTTGGCAGTATGATACAGTTGCCATAATAAAGGATGTGATGATGTGTATTTTATAATCGAGGTTCCCACAAGATTGCTATGGCTCTTGTCAGTGAATCTGGAAAATTAGAAAAGCCAAAGAACTCGAGTTTTCTAGTGATGTCGAACAGTGAGCAAGACTTTGAGGAAGATATTAAAGAAGTTGATGTTGTACCCTGTGTATGTCATGAGGTTGTTGGCTGCCTTGCTAGAGGGTGTCTTGCCCTAGAGAGGTAAGAAAATTTTAATTGATTTTCAAGAGTTGATTTAAGATGATTTACCTAATGAGCTACCACTGATGAGACATATGCAACATCAAATTGATTGGTGCTTGAAGCTAGTCTCATAATCTACCCCATTATCGTATGAGCCCTAAGGAGAATGAGATTCTCAGAAGAAAAAAAAGATAGAAGATTTGCTGCAAAAGTGGTTTATTCGAGAGAGTATGAGTCCGTGAACAGTTCCAGTGTTGTTGGTACCGAAGAAGGACAGTACATGGCGCATGTGTGTTGATAGACGTGCAATCAACAAAATCACCATCAAGTAAAGATTTCCAATTCCACGCCTGGAAGACATGTGGATGTTGTGGAGGGCTCTAAAGTGTTTTCCAAATTTGAGGAGTGGGTATCGCCAAATTCGGATTAAACCTGGAGATGAGTGGAAAACAGCTTTTAAGACCAAGGATGGATTGTACAAATGGTTGGTGATGCCGTTTGGGTTGTCAAACACACTGAGCACATTTATGAGACTTATTAATTAGGTATTGCATCTCTTTATTGGTTCATTTGTTGTAGTTTATTTTGATGACATTTTGATTTACAGCAAAACCAAGGAAGAACACTGATACATTTGAAGGAAGTTTTGAAAGTTTTGCAAGAGAATAAGCTATTTATTAACCTTAAAAAGTGTACTTTTGTCATTCATAAGTTACCTTTTCTAGGTTCTGTTGTTAATGCATATGGTATCCACGTGGATGAAGATAAGGTGCGAGCCATTCGGGAGTGGCCTACTCCGAAAACAGCCAGTGATGTGATGAGTTTTCATGCCTTGCAACCTTTTACAGGCGCTTTGTTCACCACTTCAGTACCCTAACCGCACCAATTACTAAGTCCTGATTGTGGAAAATTTAATTGGGGTGAAGAGCAAGACCAAACTGTGCCTTATTAAAGAAAAGTGAGCACATCACCGGTCTAGCCATTTCCACTTGAGAAGATATCAAGGTCGAATGTGATGCGAGTGGAGTGGGTATAGGAACTATTTTGCCTCAAGAGAAGAGATCGGTTGCATTTTCCTTAGAAAATCTCAATGAAGCACGCCAAAAATGGAGCATTTATGACTATGAGTTTTATGTAGTGGTTCAAGCTTGAAACAGCGGGAACCTTATCTGGTGAGAAAAGCGTGAATAGAGCATGTTAGGTGGGACTTTCTGATAATATTCCATTGGTTATTAAACATAAAATGGAGTTCTTAACCGTTGTAGCAGATGCACTGAGTCATCAAGCAAATTTGCTTGTTATTTGGTTCAAGAAGTTGTGTGTTTGGAATTTCTAAAGGAACTGTACGAGACTGATGAGGATTTTCAGGAAACATAGGCTAAGCTTGTGCGCAATGAGCCGATGACAGATTATCATGTTAACAATGGGTATTTATTTAAGGGCAACCATGGTGCACTCCTATTTCTTCTTTAAGGAGAAACTGATTCAGATGCAAAGGGGGGATGAGTGGCCATCTGGGCCGGATAAAAAACCCATGCCAGTATGGAGGAGCATTATTTTTTGCCACACTTGAAGTGAGATGTCAGCACTATTGTGCGTAAATGCTATAGTTGTCAGGTATCTAAAGGACAGTACCAAAATACTAGTCTTCATATGCCTTTCCCTGTTCCTGATGATATTGGCAAGACTTGTCTAGGATTTTGTTATGGGACTCCTCATACACAACGAGGAGTCGATTCTGTTTTTGTTGTGGTTGACAGGTTTTCCAAGATGAAGCATTTTATTGCTTAAAGAAGACTGTGAACGCTTCCAACATAGTCAAACTGTTTTTCAAGGGGGTGTGCGGTTGCATGGTGATCCTAAATCTAATTACGTCAAACTTTGACACCAAATTCCTTAGCCACTTTTGATAACCTTGTGGAGGATGTTTAGTACGGACTTGATCGTAATAGCACTGCTCATCCGCAGACATATGGTCAGACTAAGGTTACCAACAGAACCCTCGGAAACAGGTTAGGAACATTTGCAAAGAAAGGCCGAAGTAATGGGATATTGCACAGGTGGGGTTCACTTACAATAGTGCTATTCATTCTTCCACATGAAAATCACCCTTGCCATTGTTACACTTTGGTGCCGAGCATTTGGTTGACCTGGTCAGCTTTCAAGAGCCCAAAAGACTGTGTAGCTGCTGAAATATGGCTGAACCACGTTCAGACTATGAGGGAAGAAGTGAAGGGACAAGCTAGAGAGCACTAAACTAAATTTAGTCGCTGCTGACAAGCACCATCGTGTGAAGTTGTTCAGGAAGAAGCTCTGTGATGGTTTACTTTTGAGGAAGAGAGAAACATTCCCACCCTTCGAGTACTATAGCAAATGAAGCTAGGAAGGTATGGGCCCTACAAAAAAAAAAAAAAAAAAAAAAAAAAAAAAAAAAAACGACAATGCCTATGTCGTGGGACATTCCTTAGCAATGGGCATATCGAGCACTTTCACTGTGCAGATAATGAGTTCTCCATGATTGAGAAGTCAAATTTTCCTTATGAAACTTCAACGTCGCGTTCGTCGGAAGTGGAAGGGATGAGTAGAACAGATGGTGGAAGCAACTCTAACGAGGAGTTAGATGCGATGGGCGGTGCAAAGACAAATCGAGTAAGCTGACAGATTGGGATCCGAGCTCAGAATTGGCCCATGACAACCTCAATAATCGAATATAGAGGTGGCGGAGCGGCCATCGCCATCGATGTGGGTGGAGGAGATAAAAAAAAAACTCATGCTTTGTCTGGATGTATGGGCTTTTTCGGGCATCCGATCATTACTAGCCCGAATTCAATTTTACAGTTTACCATTTTGGAACTCTGTTATTTTTCCTATTTTAATTCCTTTGTTATTCCTGAGTATTCTAGATATTTAAACATACGTACCCGGGTTAGGGTTATGTTTTTTTTCTAGTGCATCAAATAAAACCGAGTTCTCTCAATTTCCTTGTGATTCTCGAGTTACAGATTTACGCGAAGTTTTTGATCATTTGCACCGGCATTGCCGCACCAAGTAGAATAAATGGCGGGGATCGAAGTGAAGAGGAAGCTGGAAGCGTGCCACACACAAAGACAAAGCGGGAGCACTGCGATTTGGGCCTTCAAGTCGAGCATTGGGCCATGACCCGAAGATTCGCAGAGAACGACTTTAAAGTAAAACGCTCGCGCTGCATCTGTATGATTTTTTTGGGCATCCGAATCATTTTACTAGAAAAAATTTAGTTTTAAATTTTTACATTTTTTGGAAACTTTATTATTTTCCTATTTTATTCTTTTGTGGGTTATTTCTCCCTAGGGTTTCTAGGTCTAGTATTAAAACATACTTACCTGTGGTTTAGGTAGGCTATGTTTTATTTCGATGTTTATCAAATAAGCCTTTAAGGTGTTCGCTCAACGTTCTTGTGGATTCTAGAGTTACATGTTTTTTAGTTGCGAAGGTTTCAGTCAATCAATTGTCACGCTGTTTCCGTTAACTTTTATAGTGAGTTAGTCTTTTGTTTCCCCACAGATAAGAAAAAGATGTATTTGTTTAATATTTTCAAATAATAGTCGGAAGCTAGATTTTAACATAACTGATTCCAAGGCAAAGGACCACTAGTGTATGTGTTGGAACATTGCCTCCCAGTCCCGGGGTTTGAGTCCTATCATCAATATATAGTATTTATCTTTATAGTGAGTTAGTTAATATTCATTGCCCCTCTCACTAAAAAGTCTTAAAAAAAAAAAAAAAAAAAAAAAATTTTGATTGCATTTTCTAACCAGTGAATGATCACCTAGCGACAAGGGCCCTGTTAACTCCCCGTTTGACCTTGAGTTCAAATTATTTTCGTGCACAGCACCTGCAATGCGCTCCTGGGAACAGAACGGTCTGATGGCATTTTTATAAGTAGGCATTCAAACATCTCCTCCCTAGCATTTCTTGACCTTTGTGTTCATGGAAGGCCGATCACTGGCTCCTTGGAATTACACCACAATGCGACAACCAGCTTTTTATGATTTTCTTTTCCTCCTCATTAAAATCGCCAATCTCCAAGTAGTTCCCTTGTTATATTGGCGTTAGCCCTAAGGGAAAGTAAGTTTGGTTGAACGCTCTACCCTGACCTGAAATTCTTCCTATCTCGGCTTGCCATTTTCCAGCGCACGATTCCGAAACTATAGACATCAGTTGTACGAAACACCTCCAATGTTTTTGTAGAACAATCAGGAGCAATACCCATTTTTCCCCTTGCTGCCCGTCAACGAGACATGCTATTATTACGGACTATAATTTTCGCAAGCCCGAAATCAGAAATCTTTGGGTTTTAGTTTCATCAAGAAGAAGGTATAGAGGTTGATATCAAAAGTCGAATTTGCATTCACACCTGTGCAAGATTCCATCTCTCGGCCATCGAGGAGCATCTCATCCATTTTCTTGCAACTAAAGGCATGTTTTCCTCCTTTGGATACATATATTTCTCAAGAGAGTATGTGGCATGAAGTCATATACTAGCACGCTTTAATCCCTACACATAAACCAACAAGTGCACCAATTAAATGGTGAATCTTCAAATGGTAGCTACCTCACTTGTGAAGTCTTGCCCTTACAATTTGGGCTGGGCCAAGAGTAGAGTGAAGGGCTACAAAAACGGGCCACCTGCGAACTTTCCTTGAAGACAGAGCCATAGCCACCTTCACGAACTTGTAACTTAATTTCTCCAGTATCTTTTTTAATTTTTGAGGAAGAGTACTTTGGCCAAGAATTGTTGTCACTTTGGAAAAAAAAAAAAAAAAAAAAAAAAAAAAAAAAAAAAAAAAAAAAAAAAAAAAAAAAAAAAAAAAAAAAAAAAAAAAAAAAAAAAAAAAAAAAAAAAAAAAAAAAAAAAAAAAAAAAAAAAAAAAAAAAAAAAAAAAAAAAAAAAAAAAAAAAAAAAAAAAAAAAAAAAAAAAAAAAAAAAAAAAAAAAAAAAAAAAAAAAAAAAAAAAAAAAAAAAAAAAAAAAAAAAAAAAAAAAAAAAAAAAAAAAAAAAAAAAAAAAAAAAAAAAAAAAAAAAAAAAAAAAAAAAAAAAAAAAAAAAAAAAAAAAAAAAAAAAAAAAAAAAAAAAAAAAAAAAAAAAAAAAAAAAAAAAAAAAAAAAAAAAAAAAAAAAAAAAAAAAAAAAAAAAAAAAGTTCGGGCCCAATCCATGGATTTTTTGGGCCTCAACACATATAAAGTGAATAAATACGACGTTAAATTTTATAATACGTCGTTAAATGAAAACCCCAACGTGGTGAGATTTAAAGATACCGTTGTAGAAAATACGAGAAAGACGTCGTTATATTTATCTTTGCCGTAGTTGTACATTAATTTAATACGGCGGTATTTTGTATTTTACCGCCGTGGATTTATTTGTAATTATACGGCGCCTTATACGAAAACTTGGTCGTGTTAATTTCTGGGTAAAAACGGCGGCTTTTTTTGAAATCGTCGTCTTTACTTTCAACGTCGGTCGGTTCATAACTTCCGCCGTTATTTGTTGGCTTTGATTTTACTACTCGGAAATCCTATTTCAATAAGACGTCGATTTTTTTAATTAGGTACGTCGTGTTTTAGGAACAGCCATTTGAATCTCCATTTTTTAGGTGTCTAAGGTGTTATTACACGGCGGTTTTATAGAACCGTCGTCTTTTAAAAAACAACGACAGTTTTCACTTAGACCGTTGTTTTTTTCTGGTCGTCTTTGTCACTTTTTGTAGTAGTGAATGCGTAAAGCATGACTGTGGTCCAATTAATTATTGAATTGTCCAATTATTTGGACAGTTTGGGAATGCGTAGTCATGTCACGTAATATACGACTACAGGATTATGTTTCGGTTGTAAAAATTTCGGTGTCATCTCTGTACGTTCTTCGGGTGGTACGTAGGTATTTTATACATACATTACACCTCAAGAACTGTATTAAGATGTTGCTGAATTCATCCACGTCGAAATCTAATCTCATGGAGCCGTAAATTGCGTGACATGAATATGCATTCCCGAATGGGATAGGGTCCTTACCGAAGGCATAAGGTGACATTATGACTTTGTATGAAGTTGTTGTGATTGTTGTGTTGTCATTGTGGTTCCAGGAAATATGAGCAAGAGGTGGATACAGAACCCGAATAGATGCGCAGACGAATACTTGGATGGAATCGAGGATTTTATTGAGTTTGCACGTACACACAACCCAAGTGCAACTAGAATCCGTTGACCTTGTAGGAGGTGTAACAACATGTTGTGGGAGACAATTAAAAATGTTGGATTTCATTTAGTAAGGAATGGAATGATTGAGACATATAGCATTTGGAACTTTCACGTGGAATAATTAGACAATGCTTCGTCTTCAAATGCCACAAGAGTGGACAATATTGAACCTATTGTGGATCCTAATGAACAAGTCATGGATATTATAAATGATGTTTTTCCACATCGACCAACATCAATCAGGAAAGGGAAGATGACGTGTCTACCCCAATAGATAGTGCAGAGTTCAAACAATATGAACAACTGTTAAAAAATGCTAACTAAGAGTTATACCTGGGGTGCGAGAGCTTTTCTGTTCTCACAGCCATTGTGGAGCTAATGCACGGAAAAATAAAGTATCGTATGTCGAACCTGTGTTTCGATTACTTTTTGGGGGTTTTCAAGAGAATGCTTACGATGGATAATTGTTTGCCGAAAGACCTTAGACACGCGCAAAAGGTGATGAATGGTTTTGGATTGGGTTATGAAAAAATTCACGCTTGCAAAAACAATTGTATGTTATTCTACAAAAAGTATGAAACATTGGCTAGATGCCCTATATGCAGTGAGTCGAGGTTCAAAATGACATCTCAGAATAGAATAACTAAGATCCCACAAAAAGTCATGCATTATCTGCCCCTGAAACCTAGACTGTAGCGATTGTATATGTCGACGCATACTACCACAGACATGAGATGGCATAAGAAAAAATGAGTAGACGACGATGTGATGTGTCATCTTACAGATGGGGAGGCATGGAAAGAGTTCGATCGAACGTTCCCCGAGTTTGCTGTTGATCCCCGAAATGTTATATTGGGACTTGCCACTGACGGATTCAATCTATACCGAGTTCTAAACCAACACCACAGCACTTGGCCAATTTTCGTATTCCCATATAATTTGCCGCCTTGGAAATGCATGAAAAAAAGTACATGATGATGACTGTGTTGATAACTGAGGGTTCTGGCTAGTTAATCGATGTTTACTTAAGGCCGTTGGTGGATGAGCTTAAGGATTTATGGACAAACGGTGTGCGCACGTACGATAAATCCACTCGGAAGATGTTCACTCTACATGCAGCACTTATGTGGACTGTGAATGATTTTTAGGTGGAGCACAAAGGGTTATATGACATGCCCTGTATACAAGGAAGATGTAACTTCTGGTTGGCACGCTGGAAAAGTTTGTTACTTTAGTCATCGGAGATGGTTGCCATGGGACCACGAGTGGCGGAAAAATGATAAAGAGTTCAACGGGAACACAGAGCGTCGCCTCAGACCTAGATATTGGTCCGGTGATGAGATCTTGGAACAGCTTAACCGTTTGGATTTTGCTCTATTTGTGAAAATAGTTACTCGGACCAGACCTTCTACACATTTGAACTGGATGCACAAGCCTATATTTTTTGTGCTTCCATATTGGTCGAAACTAAAATTGAGGTACAATCTCGACGTTATGCATGTTGAGAAAAATGTGTTTGACATATTGATGGGCACGATTCTAGATATCGAGGGCAAGACAAAGGACAGGATCAAAGCTCATCTTGATTTGGAAAGAATGGGCATACGGAGGGGTTTATGGATGAATAGGGACAGTGATAAAGCTGGAAGGGATCTTGCATTTTGTTTCCATGAAACCGAATGACAAAAAAGATTTTCTAAAGTTTGTATCGTGTGTAAAGTTTCCCGATGGGTATGCTTCTAATATCACACGTTGTGTAAATATTGACGGAGGTAAATTTGCTAGACTAAAAAGCCATGACTGCCATGTATTTATGCAATGCCTACTTCCTGTGGGTATTCAACACCTATTGTCGGAAGATGTAGTCAAACCAATCATGTCGTTGTCCAAATTTTTTTCCCAATTGACTGCAAAAACATTGCGAAAGACAGACATTCATCAGTTGCGCCATGACATTGTCCAAGTCCTATGCAAGTTTGAGATGATATTCCCTCCAGCATTCTTCACAAGTATGATCCACGTGATGGTTCACTTGCCAGAATAGGCATTGCTTACTGGTCTTATCAACTATTGTTGGATGTATCCAATAGAAAGTTATATAATCCTTATCATTTGTTTATATATGCATCCTTATCCCACACTTACTAATTTGTATCGTATCATTTTATTTTGGCAGGCTTCTCAGAGAGCTGAAAAAAACTATACGCAACAGGGCGAAGCTTGAAGCATCAATTATAGAGGCTTGGGTTCGATATGAGTCGTTGACTTTCTGTGGAATGTATTTAAAAGATATGGAGATGGCTTTCAATTGTCCTCAGTGCAATAATGATGGGGGTTGTGAGAAATGAGAAACTTTCTATTTTTGCCCAAAGCGCACGACCCTTTGGAGATCCTGCACGAGGAGAGTTGTTTTCCAGAAATGACATGGAGGTAGCGCATTGGTTCGTACCGAAAAATTGTGATGAGATAATGGCATACTTAGATGAGCATGAAGAGATGATGAAGCGAGAATATCCATCACATTTGTGTGCCAATAAACATCGTGAATTGTTTCCACAATGGTTTTTGGAATATGTAAGTTATAAGTGTTTTGTATTTGACATATATATTGTAGTATTTAATTTTCTCAAACTAACATGTGAATGTTTTTGTATAATATTAGGTGAATAAATTGAAATCATCGAATTCCCCCATATACAGCGAAGAATTATATAACTTGGCATTCGGGCTGATTCGCACTGAATTGTTCTCGGGTTGCCATGTTAACGGCGTCAATTTTTGGGGACTGCACGAGATGACAAGTTGTGTACGCAAAATAGCGGTGTCCATGTCCCAGGTGGAGGCGAAAGTACGGACATTGATTTCTATGGCAAACTCACAATTGTCGTGCAATTGCTTTACAAAGACCGATACCAAGTGATCATGTTTAAGTGTTGATGGTTTGATACAAACCCAAATAGGCAAGGAAGTGTTAAAATCGACCATGGCTTACTATCTGTGAACATTAACAAAACTTGGTATGATGACGACCCTTACATTTTGGCAAATATGGCAACACTGATTGTGTATCTAGATGACCCTAAAGCCGGGAGTGGTTGGAAGGTTGTTCAGAAGATGGATAAGAGGAATGTGTATGCTATACAAGAACTAGACGCAACTGACAACGATGTCGACAATGTTGCTGACCAACATTTAGAATCTTCAATGGAAAATGATGCAGAAACACTTTGAGATACAAATGCTATACAAGAACCGTTTTAGATACAAGGAGTGTCTTCAATCGAAATACCCATTTAGTCAATTACAATTGACCTCGGTGATCTTCCCCGATACGATGTTGCAGTGGGCCCGAACAATGACAATGATGTAGTTATAGAGGAGGAGGATTGGGAGACCGAAAATGATGATAGCGACGATAACGAAAGTTATTATAGTTCAGATGATGAATAATAATGCAATTTATTTGCAACTTGCATTTATCAACTCAATTTTTTGTTTCTTCTTTTATTTATTTGGATATTTTGGTGTGATTATTGGAAAAAAAAAAATTTGAATTGATAAATGCTTAATTAACCAATTTGCCATTTTTATTCTTCTGTGATTAATGCTATGTGTCAGTTTAACTGTTTCACTTATGGAATTAATGGGTTTTATTCCGTTAAGTCATTCAAAATTTCACAAGAGAGCTCTTACATGTTAGATTATTATTTTTTAGTTTGGTTGGTAATAATTTTAGTAAACTGATTTCCTAATCTATGATAAGGAAATTCGACGGACAAATTGCACTCATATCTGCTGTGAGATGATGTTAATCACAATTCACAATAACAATATAATCATGGAAATGGTTTCCAAGCTTTAAGAATAGTTAAAAATTAGCTTTCTTTGAAAAAAGAAAAATACAAAACGATATTGGGAAAGGAGGTTATCGAAACTTCACTATATATGTTGTCATTCATTTACATGTAATTTTAACTCTATTACAAAGTATAGAGTGAGCACTTACTCTAGTCTTATAACAGTCACCAAGAAACATAATCATGATGCTTATGGATTATAGAGTGTTGCTTGCACTAGAAGAGTTATAAAATTTGTTCTTCTAATTATGATGGCAATTTGCTCCCAAAATATATATATATATATATATATATTGATGGCAATGAAAATCTGCTCTAGGAATGTAACTTATAATCATATAATTTTTTTTACTCACCATATTCATAACATTTTTCAGTAATAAATTTTTAATTAGACATAATTACAATTGTCATCCATAAAAATCCAATATATACTTCAAGAAACACTTATGTTTAGAGCAGAATCATTCATAAGAACACACAAGTTAGTTGGGAATACTCTAACAATGTTATATTCTAATCCAAATTCATTGGTAATGATTATAGACAAAGCATGCACTCAAAACTTAGCAAATTAGATCAGTGTATATTTTTCTTTATTTTCATAGAGATGCTAGCCTATTCTTTTTATTATTATTATATTTTTTGGTCTGAACATGCTAGCCTATTCAAAGGCAGCTTTTTTTAATTTTTTTTATTTAAATAAATAAATAATAATAATAATTATTTTTTTTTAAGGTTTAGGGTGGGTTTGTGCGCTTTAGGGTTTAGGGTTTTAGGGTTGAGATTTTGCGCGACGTACTTGTTCTTGGTCACGCAGGTTCAATTTTATATTTACAGTTTATGTTTTGCGCGACGTAACTATTCTTCTTCGTCGCTCAAGGTACCGAAAATTTAAGGAGGCCTCAATATTTAGGGTTTATATTTTGCGCGACGTAAATGTTCTTGGTCGTGCAAGAGCTGAAATATTTCCTTGCGCGACGCAAATACTCTTCTTCGTCGCTCAAGGTTCCGAAATTTTTTGGCAAAGTAAATATTGAGGGTTTAGGTTTTGCGCAATGTAAATGTTCTTGGTCCTGCAAGGTGTGAAATATTTCTTTGTGCAACGCAGATAGTTTTCTTCGTCGCTCAAGGTCCCAAAAGAATCAATATTTAGGCTTTTGTTTTGCGCGACGTAACTTTCTTGGTCGCGCAAGCTAGGAAATATTTCCTTGCACGACGTAGATGTACTTCTTCATCGCTAAAGGTGCCGAAAATTTTAGGCGGACTAAATGTGAAAAAAAGCCGCCTTTTTTTTTCCAGACTCTCTGACTCTCTCTTCACCCACGAACGAGGCTCTCCTTCTTCCTCCAGCCGTGCCCTCCCAAACCTCCATACAAGCACCACCAGCCACGGCCAGCCCCAAGACCAGACCCAACACGTCCGGCCGGATCCCGCCGTCACATCCCAGGCCTTCGCCGCCCTCGTTGACGACCCCTAACCAAAGCGCAAACCCTGTCTCCCATTCCCCTCTCTTACCCAAAATTCTCCCCTTCTCTCTCCAACCCAAATTCTCTCCCTCTCAAACCGAAACTCCCCATCATTGTAAACCAGTCACCACCACCGCCTCCCTCTCGCATCCGCTGCTATCTGTTATTATATTTTAATGCGTTTCTAATTTTGTTTTTCTGTTTGAATATATATATTTATTTGTGGTATTGGGTTGTTATTTTGGATTTCAAATTTGATTGGGGTGTTGATCAAGCATTGTGGTCTTCGATTTGTGATTTTGTAAGTGTATTGCTGTTAGATTCGTTCCTTTGCAGCCCTATATACATTTCATTGTTTATTTTATTTTTTTTAAATTAATCATGGGGGTTTAGCCCTAAATAACAGAAAACTGATATATGAAGTGGGGATGAGTTTCAATGATTTAGCTGCAAAAAGTGTTTTTCAACTTGTTTGTTGTCATGTTTTTCTGATTTTGTAATGGTATCGCTGCAAAAATGTGACTGTTTTATAAGTGTATTGCCGTTTTTTGTTTTGGTTGGTTGGTTGGATTGAGTTGCATTTATTTGGGGGGTTTAAAATATGAGCTACTGTTAGTTTTTAAAAACTAGAGTTGTATTGATAAATTTTTAACACTTGTGGTTTTAGAAATTTGGTACTACATTTGATTTTTCTATCATATGTGCTTATGATTTTTCTTGTTTGCTATATAAGTTTATCTTGTATCAAACACACTGGAAAAAAAAATTAAATCAATATGTTATACATTAATATCTACTTAGTCTGATGGTTGGTTAGAATTTTTTGTTTTCTTGAATGGGTTCCTATTTTTCCGATTACTTTGACCATGACCATGACCTTTTGTATTTTTTTTTAAAAAAAAATGTGTAAATGGTTTTGGACCATATTAAAGTAACTATGTTTTTCACTTTGGATGCTTGTTCAATTGTGCAGATGTCAAACCTTATTAGAAGTCGTAAGGCAGTGACGACTACACAGATGTCGCCTCCCCCGACTCAGCCTTCACCTGCCACTACTCTAGCACAGATGGACCACATGCTAGTTGGTCCTAGGGGCTCCCCTGCGCTGGCGTCATCAGCATCATCTGTGGCGTCATCAGCATCATCTGTGGCGCAACCTGTTAGTGCTAGGCGTCGTCATCGCCCCCCCAGCACGACCGACACAACCTCGACAAACGGTACGGGTGGGTCGGGGTGACAACCCGGTAAAGATTTCCTTGAACTACATCTGTTTTGGACCAATATTTTATAGTAGAATTTTTTATTTAACTTTAATTTTCTATTTCTTTGCAACCAAGAAGAACACCCGAGGGCTTTGTCGGCAGTTGAAGACGACAAAAGTCACTCGGGTGACCAACAGTCGTATCAAGATCAGATATGACGAGCGGCATCGGGCTGCACCAACGGCGGAATTGCATAGCTCATTGGCCCACGACATTGGTCATGTCGTTCGGACCCATTGCCCGATGAAATGGAAGTCTTGGAAGGTCATGCCTGACGAGACGAGGATGGAGGTGCGCGGAAAGTTGTCGGTATGTATCCTACCTTTTAATTGTTTTTCCTTCAAACTTTATATATTTCTATTACTTAATGTATGTAATTAATTTATTGCAGACCAAGTACAATTTGGAAGACCTCGACGATGAGTTGTTGACGTACGTCAACAGACTCTTCGCTGAGAGGTACAAGCAGTGGAAGAGTGACTTGCACCACCATTTTCAGGCATTTGATGATCCACAGGTCGCTCTTCACGAGGGAGGAGCTTGAGGGGTTGGAGGATAGTTAGGCGTGGCTCTGCGGTCATTTTCAGGAAACCGATTATGTTGTTTTTTATATATAACAGAAGAAGACCCAAGCAAATAAGGGCAATAGGAACAAGAAGACTCTTCTCCACCATTCAGGTTCCAGGCCCTTCTCATATAGGATGGACGCATGACAGTGGGTAATAATAAAATCTTTTATATTCACATTTTAATATGTCATTAATATTAATTTGTTTTTTTTCGTACTAACATTTTTCTTCTGTTGTTCAATTAAGGGGGGGTCCAAATTCCCGGAGATCGACGTCTTTGGCGACGTTTATGTTTGACTTGGGAATGAGTTGGCTGAGTCCCTTCATGTAAGTATTCTTTATTTTTAATTATTATCTTACGCATTCATGTTTCATGGTTATTATATGAATGTTTTAATTAATATTTTATATTATGTTAAACAGACGACGATGGTGGAGAAGAGCCAGTTGGTTCTTCAGGAGTTTGCCTCCCAACTTCCTCCTGATACTCTGCTCAAGTCTGTGGATCCTCCACATGATGCAGGGTTTCAGATCCTAACCGAGACGTTGGATCAGACTCTCGGGAGGAGGCCAGGGACATATTGTCGAGAGATGGGGAATGCCTGGCGGCGGGAGCCTAGAGCTCGTTCCTCGTCGCAGTCAAACAATCAGGTGACTGCTCTGACGGCAAAGGTGGCTGAGCTTAGGACCCAGATGTCACAGATTCTACAGTCTCTCGTCCGGTCCGGTATTCCTATACCGCATGTTGGTCCCTCGTCGACCTCCGAGCCCCTCCAACCCAACCATGGCCACCACACTCTTGCCCCTGTCGATAATGTCCAGACCTCCGAGCAGAATTTGCTAGACGACCACGTAGATTTTCAAACTCTTTTTGGTTATATTGTTTTTAATTACAGTTGAAACATTGCTCTTGTACTAAATACATGTATATTCTTTTTACAAATATTTTTTTTCTCTTCGTTATATTTTTTGCGCGATGAAATGCTTTTCATTGGCAATTCACTTTTTACAAAATAAAAAACAAAAAAATATATTTCAAAAAAATATATTTTATTTTTGCACGACGAAATATTTCGTCGAGCAAAAATTGAAATGCGACTAAGGGATTTTCGTCGCGCCAAACACTTCATCGCACAAATGTTTGAGGCACAAAGTTTTTCCTTGTCCCTACATTTTAATGCGACGCACGGCCACCGTCGCGCTGTGTAATTGTGACGAAGGTTTAATGCGACGCAAGGTCAACCGTTTTAATGCACACAAGGTCAACCGTCGCTCAAGTTTTTGCGACGAAGCAACATTATTTGTTGCGCAAAATCTTTCTTCACGATCTTTGCACGACAGATTCAGCGCGATGAAGTTTCTGTTGCGCTGAATTTTGCGCAACTAAAATGTTTTTTGCGCGACGAAATGGATTTCGTCGCACAAATAGTAAAATGTCGTAGTGTATAGATCCATTATGGGTAGTAAATTTCATTTGTGTTCTTTGTGCTTGAACCAATATTCTTCCTTCCTCCTACCACCTCTAGCAACAACATTCCAAAACTATAGACATCTGACTTGTAAGACACATTTCCAAAATTCCTAGGGAACACTTCAGGTGCAATGTATCCCATGGTGTCTCTAGCTTTAGTCATTGACACTATACTTTGATCCTTGGAAGATAATTTGGCCAAACCAAAATCAGAAATTTTTGGAGTGAAGTTGTGGTCTAGCAAAACATTATGAATCTGAGACGGCAACATTTCTCAGTCCACCGCCGTGTAAAATAGTTTTAATGACACGATCTAAAAATAAACGACGTGGAAAATATGTTGGGGTCATTACTTACGACACATTAATTTATAAAGATGACGTTGTCGTCAATATACAACGTCGTCACCAATAACATCATTATATTCTCTATTAGGCATTGATAACACTACCGACCAACCACGACGCATCGGGTCGTCAACAAAAAATACTTGTTTGACTTGAGAAGCCAAAACAAATTGTTCATTCCTATGTCCAATTTTACTCAAATCTACAAGGGTAAATCCAAGTTCGTCGACTACAAGACCAGAAGTACTATCTATCCAATCACACCTAAAGACTGCGATTGTAAACTTTTGGTAGTCAAGGTCCGAAATTTCTTGAATGACACCATAGAAACCCATATTTGAGAGAACTGGGTTTTTATCCTTGGCACTAGTAACTTGTATGGTATGTGCAAGTAAATAAACTCCACTATTTTAAGTTGTCCGCACATCATCTTGTGCCTTGATGTTAAATTTAATACCTTTAATAAGAGAGCTCTTATATGATGGCACTGCCATGTTTGGACCAGCTGCTAGCCACCTTAAATTTTCTGATACGCCATGATTGTCTTCCTTATTAAGTTCACTTTGAACCTGCAAAGTAATCATATCTTAATTCAATCTAACATAGAAAGAAGAAAATTAAAAGTCCAATATGTTATTCAATAACATATACCTTGAAGCGTAGCCATTGAATGAAAGTGCTATTGTGCTTATCCTGCAGCCACTTTGTTCTGTTTCTAAATTTTGGATAAGCGGTCTTGATGTGGATCATATGTTGCCTACATGACACAAAAAATTCAAGCATTACGGTCCTAAACATATAAGATAAACATAAGAAATAATTTAAAATGGAAACTTAAAGAATAAAACTCATACGTACTCGATATAAGGTAGGACTTCCTTCGTATTCTCCAAGACATATAGATGTGCTTGGTTCAACAGGTCCCGATCAACTACGCTCACTGTGCAACCTGATAATAGCTTTGAAACTCCCATATTTTGGCTTGAAGGCACTCCAACTGTACTAATATCAGATAAATGCTTGGTACAAAACTCTACAGCTTCTTCAGCTATATACCGCTCAGCAATGCAACCTTTGGGACAAGTACAATTCTGAACATACCCCTTTAGCACTTTCATATATCTTTCAAACGGATACATCCATCTAAAATATACTGGCCCACATAGATGAACTTCTCTGACAAGATGTACTACTAGATGAACCATGATATCAAAGAATGAAAGGGGAAAGTACTTCTCAAGCAAACACAAAGTAACTACGACATCTTCTTCCAACTTATCTAGCATGGAAACATCAACAGTCTTTGCACATATAGCATTGAAGAAGAAGCACAAACGAGTTATTGCATACCTTGCAGGCTTTTCCAAAACAAAACGAATTTCCACAAGGAGCACTTGTTGCATTAAGGTATGACAATCATGTGATTTAAGGCCAAGAAGTCTTGAATCTTGTAAAGATACAAGATTTTTTATATTTGAAGAATAACCTTCAGGGACCTTCATACCATAGAAAGAATTGCAAACCTCTCTCTTATCTGCTCTTGACAAATTCCAAGGCCCGGGAGGCAAATGAGTACGTCTTTCTCCATACTCGGGTTGCAAATCAGTTTTAACCCTCATGTTCAATAAATCTAATCGAGCAGCAATCCCATCTTTATTTTTTCCAGGGATTTCCAGTAATGAACCAATGATACTATCGCAAACATTCTTCTCAATGTGCATAACATCTAGGACATGCAGCACTTCTTCTCCGGTTAATGGCTCAGGAGGTGTGCCATATTCAAGTTTCCCATTAAAAGCTGCACGTTGCCTCCTATATGGATGATTGATTGGTAACCATTTTTTGTGCCCAATGTAACAAATTTTGTGGCCATTTTTCAACCTGTGACTAGGTGTATCATCGCCGCATATTGGACAAGCTTTATATCCTTTAACAACACAACCAGATAAGTTTCCATAGGTGGGGAAATCATTAATTGTCCACATTAATGCAGCTGAGTGTAAAGTATTCTCCATTATGTGCATCATACACTCCTCTAATCCTATCCCACAAAGATTTTAAATCATCAATCAATGGCTCCAAGTAGACGTCTATATCATTTCCGAGTTGTTTAGGACCCGAAATCAATAAGGTCAACATCATGAACTTTCGTTTCATGCACAGCCATGGAGGGAGATTATATGTAACTAAGATAACTGGCCAGCAACTATATCTGCTACTTAGAGAACTGTGGGGATTGAATCCATCAAATGAAAAAGCCAATCTCAAGTTTCTCGGCTCATTACCAAACTCAGGCCATTTATCATCAAGAAGTTTCCAAGACGGGGAATTCGCCGGATGAGACATCTAACCGTCAATTGATTTTCTAGTAGCATGCCAAGTCAAACTCTTAGTTGTCTCATGTGATCGAAACATCCTTTTAAACCTTGAAATTGGAGGAAAATACCACACCACCTTCGCTGGCACACCCTCTTTCAAGATTGAATCTTTGCCTTCCTTCCACCTTGAGATACCACAAGTAGGACAATTAGTTGAATCTTCATACTCCTTCCTATACAAGATGCAATCAATGGGGCATGCGTGCATTTTCTCATAACTCAGCCCCAATGCACACAAAGTCTTTTGTGCCTCATACATAGAGGCCGGTATTGTATTTCCTTCTGGAAGCAAATCGCCTTGAAGTATCAATAATTCTGTAAAACAGACATCACTCATCCCATGTTTTGCCTTCAAATTATACAACTTCACTAATGCCGATAACTTCGTGTACTTTCTACAACCAGGGTACAATGGTTGATCTCCATCCCCAATCACATTGGCAAACTCATAAGGATCAGATCCAAAATCACCAAAATCATTATCATCCATTAAAGTATAAGTGATCCCTTATAATTCCAACCCCAAACAATTTCAAATTAACACATTTAACACATGGACAACGGATATGTGTTGTAGTTAGAAGATTTTCTACAGAAAAGTTCAAAAATGCTTCCACCCTTAACTCATATGCCTTCGATCTTCTATCCGAGTGCATCCATGATTTATCCATCTCCAACACTATACCCTATTATCTATAATAAAATGAAAAGACAAGCAATGACCATCACCATAGCAGATTATATAAAGTTTTAATAGCAAGTAATATACTACACAGACGACGGTTTTTAAACAAAAACAGACGTATTTGACATATATAAACGACGGATTTTCAACAAACGTCGTCTAATTATAACCACGACGGTAGTTAAAGAACACCGTCGTGTATAAGTAATACAGACGACGGTTTATGAAAAAACCGTCGTTGTATGCCTAAAAACGCGTCGATATCCCAGTTTATTTTCAAGAACCCAAAACCCCATTAAGAACACAACATATACATTAATTTTTATGTTGGGTATTAAGCATGAAACCAACATATACTAAGCATGAAAACAATAAATCCATTCCCGATTCAACATAACAGAGAGTGATTAAAAGATCCGACAAAATTGAATCCATTCCCTATTCAACATAACAGAGAGTGATCATGAAAACATTAAACAGAAAATCCATGAACCCACACCTCCAACAACATTATTAAAAGATCGCAAAACATATATCTAAAACCCTTTAACAAAACAATCTAATATCATTCAATGAATTTACAAGGGGAAGATAAGGGTTTGTATTTATAGGTTGGCAGAGCTCACAGATTATGGCCTACTTGGATTCGACGGAGCCTGGAGAGCCAAACTTTGAATTAGAGATTAAGTGAGAGAGCGAAATGTTATGTTGCGCGAAATCTGAAAATTTTAGGGTTCAGGGTTACAAGTATAAGACTTAGAGCAAAATCTGAAAATTTTAGGTCGCACGAATTTTTTTTGGAAAGTGTGCTCTTTAAAACATTAACGGAAAAAACAACCGTCGTTAAAATTTCACTTTAAACATGACGCTTATTACATTAAAGACATCGTGGTAAAGCTATGTACGACGCAAAATCAAACAGCAGTTGTCAAAAACTAAGTGAAACCGTGGCGAAAGTTTTACCAAAACCGATGTAAATGCATTATTCCACGACTCAAAACACTGAACTTAACGTCGTTTATTTTAAAGAGTTAATAACCACGTCGTCTGTTGAACCAACGTTGAATTGAATAATGTTAATTTTTTTTTTTTTTTTTTTTTTTTTTTTTTTTTTGAAATGACATTGTTATTCGTGTACAACGTCATTTTAAAGGAACATAAACACCGTCGTCAAAAAAATAAACATCGACTGGAAACATAAATACCGTCGTTAAAAAATAATACCCTAAACCCTAAACCCTAAATTATATATTACTAAAATATAATTTTATAAAAGGGTTTATGGTTTTACAGCCTAATATATAACAAACATAAACCGTAAACCCCAAAAATTATCCTTTAATCCTAAACCCTAAACCCTTACTAAACCCTAAACCATCAAACTATAAGTGATGTTATGACTCATCAAAACAATTTATTTCTGGGTGGTCATTTTAAATTTGTATTACTCAAACTAAATTTTTTTAAGGTTTAGGGGGAAAAAAATATATCAATGACTTCATAGGAGTTGACGTTTCATTTTTTGGATTTATTTTAAATTTATTTTGAATATTTTGAATTAAAAATAATAAAATATTCTTATATCAACAACAAACCACGTCGGAGTTAAGAAATTAAAGACGTTGTAAATCATAATAAACGACTCACTTGTAAAAAGGACGTCGTTTAAAAGAGAAACCATGGCGGATGTTTCACCATCCGACGTAAACTTAATATTCTACGACTCAATCACTGTTATTAAAAAGTAATACCCTAAACCCTAAACCCCAAACCCTAAATTATATATTTTTAAAATATAATTTTATAAAGGGGTTTATGGTTTTACAGCCTAATATATAACAAACATAAACCGTAAACCCCAAAAATTATCCTTTAATCCTAAACCCTAATAAATAACAACCCTAAACTCTAAACCCTAAACCATCAAACTATAAGTGATGTTATGACTCATCAAAACAATTTATTTTTGGGTGGTCATTTTAAATTTGTATTACTCAAACTGAATTTTTTTTATGGTTTAGGGGGAAGAAAATATATCAATGACTTCATAGGAGTTGACGTTGCATTTTTTTGATCTATTTTAAATTTATTATGAATATTTTGAATGAAATAGAATAAAATATTCCTACAAACACAACAAACCACGTCGACTTTAAGAAAGTAACGACGTTGTAAATATAATAAACGACTTATTTGTTGAAAGGACGTCGTTTAAAAGCGAAACCATGGCGAAATTTTCACTAAAACGACGTCCCATCGACGTACAAACGGTATATCACGACTTAAACAAAAAAGGTGTCGCCGTGTAAATTAATTACCACGTCATCTCTGTCGTCTAAATATCCTTTTATGTCGGATTTGTTTCAAACGATGACGTTGTTTCCAACACCATAAGACGACGGTTTTTGATATACGGTTTTTGACATAATTATGTCGTTGGAAAGTTATTACACGTCGGTTACGCAATTTGTTTGTTTTTTTTTAAATTAAGAAAACCTCAACAAATTTTCAGGAAAAAAACGAATGTATATTATAGACAAAATTTGTACATTATATATTATAGACAAAATTTGTAAATTATATAAAAATATCAAGTGTTCTAAAAATCCTCTACACCATATGAAGGCAAACAAACTCTGCCCATTCATTCCTGACTTCATCAATGGCTGCTTGGGGGTATGGCGCTTGCTATTTTCCCTTGGCAAACTGCAATCCATAAACAATGATTATGAAGCTTTATAAATAAAAATAAATTCAATCACAGACGACGCTATTTTCATAACCGACATAGTATATCGATGCAACAACGGTAATTTTAAAGGACTGTCGTTGATAATACAAAAAACACATAAAATGTATCTGAAAATTTTCTTCTTACCATCTTCTCAAACTCCAAGGAAGGATCCATGATGATGTCTCTCATGAAGCGCATGACATAATACCCACATTCGACACTGCTGGGTTGCTTTGGTGTGCCTGGCAGAGTTTTCCAAATGGGTGCTTTATGGCCCTGTCTGCCTATGTGGGAATTATAAATTTTTATAGCACTATTCACCATGTTTTTGGCCTCCTCATTAACCACATGATTTCCGGGCAGAGGATCCAGAAAATAGACGGTCTCCTTCTTTGCTCTCACAATCAGTAAGACCCAATGACGGCTGCACAAAATTAATATAAAACAAAGATATATAAAAAAGTCAGCACAAGAAAACACACGACGGTTATTTATAAAAACGACGTATGATATAGTTTCACACGACGAAATAACGTACCAATCGACGTCATTATAAATTTATCACGACGGTAATTAACTAACGATGTTGTTAGAGGTTCAAACGACTCAATAAATAAATAACCGACGTGGTTAGATGTTTCAAACCGCACAAAATTAGTTAAACAGTTTTATACGCAGTGCATCATACAAACAAAATCCTGTTAAGGAGACTAACCCTGGATTGTAAGGCATCATGAAAATCTGTTCACCATCTGTCTTCTGAAGTTGACTGGCTACCAATCATGATCTGTCAGTTAGTGACCCAGCGTTGGCACTAACTTGAGCAGGGTCGATAAAGCCAACCATGTTGAACATATTTGCTTCTTTCAAATGATCATATAAGCACCTAAATATATAAAACAAAGATATAAAAAAAAGTCAGCACAAAAAAACACACGACGGTTATTTATAAACAAACGACGTATTATACAATTTCACACGACGCAATGAAATAAAAATCGACATTATCATTAATTTATCACGACGGTACATAACTAACGACGTGGTTAGTAGTTTCAGACGACGCAATAAATAAACTACTGACGTCTTATGCTATAATGATTTTTTTTTTCAACACAAATTTGAGTGTGAAATAAATATTTGATAAGGACAAACCTCGTATATACTGCAAGCATAGTAGCCCCAATTTCTTCCATGCCTGCTAACTGTAATATCTTCAGGCAAGACGAAGGTACTGCAATCTGCACCAAACACCTCCTTCTCAATAGTAAAGGTCATGATCTTCTCCTGAGGCTTTAGTGTGGTTTCCACATAACGACAAAGGGATTGTAAGGAAGATGGCACCTCCACCTTTGAATAATCAACTACTTCAATACCCTGTTTAAAGAAATAAAGCAAAATAAAATGACGTGGTAATTCAATAAACACGACGGTTTAAAGAAAACAACGTCGTCTGATAATAATTTAAACGACAGTAACAAAACACCGTCGTGTTGAATAATTTATTACGACATAGGAAACAAATTCCGACGTCTAATTTGAAAACAAACGACAGTTTAAAGAAACTATCGACGTCTGAAATTTCAAAAACAAATAAAAAAGGCAAAGTTATGAGAATATACCTTTTCATCATGCTTTTCTTCATCTTCTTTTTTTTCTTTCTTCTCTTCATCTTTTTTTTCTTCTTTCTTCTCTTCATCTTTTTTTTCTTCTTTCTTCTCTTCATCTTTTTTTTCTTCTTTCTTCTCTTCATCTTGATTTTCTAAATCCCCATATTTCTATTTTAAGTAATAAAGAAATATATATATATATATATAAGACAGATTGTAGAGAAAGTAAAAAAATTAAATCAAAACGTCGTGGTAAGGCATAACTTAAGACGGTATGTAAAAATTATGGACGTCTTAAAATTATTAAACGATGGTAAATAATAAACGTCATGGGGATTTATATATTACGTCGGTAAGGACTAAAACCGTCGTCTAAATCACCACAAAGGTTTTCAAAAATAACGACATCTAATGGCGTGTAAAACACGTAAAGTAAATACGACGTGGTATTGAAATCCAAACGACGGTTTATTAATAAAATCGTCGTGGTATGTATTTCAAATGACGGTTTGCTTCATAATAACGACGTCTAATAGCTTTTTAAAAAAACAGAAAATTCAAAGTTCAGATATGTTACAATTTCTTCATCTTTTCCCCATTTTTGGCAGTATCATCCTCAAAATGTAGGGATCTCACATCCCCAGAGCAGCTTGCTTTGTCAGACATTGGATTTTTGGGACTTTGCTCTAGACCTTGGTTTTGACAGGGGCTAGTTTTCGTTTTAAGCATGCTTGGATCAAAATTGGGGATGAGTTGGGAAAGCTAACTCAATAAATATTCCCTCTCAGCCTCTACCAATTGCTTGGTTCTAGCCTCCATCCTTAAAGTCTCTTCCCTTGATCTATCTTCCATCTTCGTAGTCTCTTCTTTAAGGACAATTCTTACACTTTCCTTTAATTGATCGGCAAACTTTACCCGTTGTTGTCTAGGTAAATTGAAGTATTGCCTAGGGGAAATCCCAGCACCTACCCCTCTTACTCTCCCTGGATGCTCGGGACCCAAAGCCAAGGTCAACACATCATTACTGCCAGATACACTGAGACTGCCTTCAGAGACTTGTTTTTGCAATTCATCCTAAAACAAAGATATATAAAAAAGTCAGCACAAGAAAACACACGACGATTATTTATAAACAAACGACGTATTATATAATTTCACACGACGCAATAACATAGAAATCGACGTTATCATATATTTATCACGACGTTACTTAAAGAACGACGTGGTTAGTTGTTTCAAACGACGCAATAAATAAAACACCGACGTCTTATGCTATAATTACAAAAAACAGAGTAGCGATTCCAAATTCAGACCTATAACGACGTTTTTAAAACATCTTGACGTAGTAATATCATTCAAACGACGCAATAAATAAAACACCGACGTCTTATGCTATAATTACAAAAACAGAGTAGCGATTCCAAATTCAGACCTGTAACGACGTTTTTTAAAACATATCGACGTAGTAATATCATTCACACGACGCAAAATAGAACATAAGACGTAATAAGAATTATCAGGGCAATACAGAGTTTAATAAAAATTTAAAATAGAGTGAGTAGGCTTACAATTAATTTTGCTTTCTCTGCCATATTTGGATCAGGGATGTTACCATATTTGTCTTGTCTAGCTTTCTTCCATAAGGCAGATTGATCAATTTCTACCCCAGGCATGGTTTCCTACAATTGATCCTCCAAACCAGAATATCCTTTTCGAGACAATCGATGATTGTACTCAAGTTTCTCCCTAATCTTTGAATGTTGAGAATGCACAAACACAAATTCTTGGGATAACCTTGAACCTACAAAGGCATCCCATTCTGCTTTCTCTATGAATTTATGTAGTTCAGGGGGTTGGCTTAATTTCTCCCTCTCCTTGATGTATGGAAGGATATAATGCCTCGTTAGTGTAGACATGAAATCCTTCCATTTCTTGGCAGCATAAGATAACACCAGGTTCTTGCCCCCTTGACCTACCACAAAAGCCATGTCAATGGCTTCCCAAATCTGCTCCTTTATATCCTTGGGGATTTCAGCCCATTTCTTGTCCACAAGTGGGACTCTGGAGCGTGCCAACACACCAATGTAGGACTGCATCTCAGTATGTGCAGGGCTACATCCTTTCCCCCTTTTATTGTACTCAACAACTGGCTTGATTTTCTGAAATTTTCTCTTCACAACACGAGGCATTGTGCTCATACCTCGACCTGACTTTGAATCCTCAAAAATTGTTGTCATGCTGGCTGGTTCTGTCTTAGCAAATGAAACAAACTTCATCTTCTTCAAGGACTTGTCTTGAGGAGTTACCATTCCAAGTTCCTTACCTCCATTTTTTTCGAGCCAGAGTCCTTACTTTGGTCTTGAGAAACCGTGGTTACAGACAAATCAAACCTGCAAGTGAAAATATTTCAGGAAAAAAATTAAGAATACAAACGACAGTTATTCATAAGACACAACGTATGATAAGATTTTACACGACGCAATAACATAACATCAGACGTAATAAATGTTTAAAATGATGGTACTTAAACAACGACGAAACAATATAAAAGAAGATGTAATAAGAACTTATTACGGCGATATTTACACTCCGTCGTGATATTTAAATTCAAACAACATTAATATTAATATAACGTCGTGGTATTAACATTCACACGACCTGAATAATAAGATATCGTCGTCTATATAAGATTCCAAACCCTACTTTCTTTGTCTGTGAATGTTTGATTGCAGGTTTGATTTCTCTGAACCATGGTTTTTGTTTTTCCTAATTTGATAAAATACAAAGACAAAGAAATAAGGTTTTGGAATCTTATATAGATGACGGTATCTTAATATAACGTCGTGGTATTAACATTCACACGACGTGAATAATAAGATACCGTCGTCTATATAAGATCCCAAACCCTACTTTCTTTTCTTTGTATTTTATCAAATTAGGAAAAACAAAAACCATGGTTCAGAGAAATCAAACCTGCAATCAAACAAGCAAATAAAAAAAAGACGGTCATTTTAAAAACAACTTAGATCAATTTTTAGATGACGCTAAGACGACTGACGAACCGTCGTGGTCTACATATTTAACCACGTAAATAAGAAGCTACCGTCGTCTTACTTAGTTGAAGTAGTTGTGTTCAAAGTTGGAAACTTTCCCTCTTTGGCTGTATATTTTATCAAACTTGGAAAAAATTAAAATGATTTCGGCCAGAAAAAAGGTAAAATGATTTTCAAAACAAAAACCGTATGAACATGCAAAACAACAACAAAAATCGTGAGAAATGAAAGCTTACCTTTTGCGTGCAATGAAATACAACAACAACAAAAAAAAGTTCAGAGACGACGACGAAGACGATGAGATACACTGACAGTGCTCTGACAACGAACGAAGCATGTGTAAGTCAGGTAGACAGTGCATGTGTAAGTCAGGTAGATGAAAAGTTGAATATATACACAAACCGTTTCATAAAAATAAGACGGCGGTTTACAGAGAACGATGACGTATAAATAAAAAAACTACGACGATAATTTGAACTTAGGACGTGGTAAATAAATACGACAGTAGTGTTGTAGGTACCGTCGTAGTAAACTCCAAAATAAAAGTCGATAAATTAATATCTCGCGTCATGGTACAAGGATTTAACAAGTCGTTTTTTTGTAATATACGGACGTGGATTTTGTAATATATGACGTATATTAAATAATAACCAACGTTGATTTTACAATTAAACGGCAGTTTGTGTGTAAGGACCGCCATGGGTTTTAAAAATTTATTGTATAAATTTGTCGCTTTCTTTCAGTTTCAGTTTTCATTTAGGGTTCCAAGTTCTTCCTCTCTCAGAGACACTCTCTCTCACATCTCAAAGACAATAATTTGGATGTCTTTCTCAAAGAGAAATGGAACTTACTCTCCAACAAATCTATGTCCACAAGAAGAAGCTTGTCATCTAGCCATCTCACTTCCGTGATCAGGCCTGATAGGAGACTTAGTGCTTCTGAATACTCCTTGCTTTCCATCAAAAGAGATGCAAGCCTGGCCTCCACTCGCTGTCGAAGGAAAGTTCGCTTCTTAGCACGGGTCCACTGCACCATTTCTTTGCAAAGGGAAATATGAAGATCAGATGTGCCTGATCCTCTGCTCGATTTTCTTGGCTAAGAAGATCCGTTAGATTTGTGATAGCCTGTTCCTTTATCTGTAGAGCTTCAGAAGAAGAAGGATGGGTTTTCAAGAATGCGATAAAGAATAGAAATGGCTTCAGATGGACTCTAAAGCCTGAGCAATCGAATCAGTAGTTGCTGGGAGATATGATGAAGACATTGTCAATGCTTTGAACTATCCAAGTCCTGCAGAAAGAGAACAGACCAAACTATTAAAATTGAAACAACGACGGTTTTTTGTTCTACTGTAGTCTTTTTTGTCGTCGTAGTATATTAAAGTAAGATGGCGGTTGGTTTAGAATTACCGACGTAGATTATTTTAGTTAAACGTCGTTAAGTGTAATATAATTGACGTGGATTTTATTTTTTAATTATAAATAGAGTTTTTTTTCCCGAGTTCTTTCAGTTTTAGTTTTCAATTACAGTGCGTTATAAATAGAGTTTTTTTTCCCGAGGAAATTTAAAATGACGGAAATTAATGTTCTAGAATTTGTAAAGTTTCTTGTTTGGGTGACTGATTTAAATCAAATACGAATATAAAAACAACGACGGCTTTTTGTTCTACCGTCGTCTTTTTTAACTAAGACGACGCAATATTTGTTTCGCGACGTGGATTCGTTTTGTTAAACGTCGTTAGGTGTAATATAACCGACGTGGATTTGATTTTTTAATTATAAATAGAGTTTTTTTTCACGAGTTCTTTCAATTTTAGTTTTCAATTAGGGTTTGAACTTCTTCTTGCCATTTCCTCTGTCTCACCTCCCCTCTTAGGAGGCAATTGTTTGGATGTTGGTGTGTGTGTATGTTTTGTGTATCTGATTCACAAACATACACACGTCACCAATTTTCAAAAAATTGTCTATCTGATTGCAAATCTGTGGCTGCCGTCGTGAAATTTTAGGAGGTAATTGTTTGGATGTTGATGTGTGTGTGCGTTTGTGTAGATACACAAACGCACACACATCATCAACTTCCAAAAAATTATCTCTCTGATTGCAAATCTGAGGCTGCCGTCGTCAAATTTCAGAAGTAATTTTTTGGATGTTAATGTGTATGTGCGTATGTGTATCTCAAAGACATAAATACACATACATCATTAACCTCTAAAATATTGTATTTCTGATTAGATTATGATGTGGAACAAAGTTCCATCTGGTAAGATTTCGTAACCCTTGGGATCTCAGAAAAATCTGATTATGTCGGCGGTTTTCTATATAAACCGTCGTGGTTATTTCAATTCTTGTCATTAAGTTGATCTACCGACGTAGGATAACAAAATCCAAGAAACAAATTGTTAAAAAAAATTCTTATTAAGACGACGGTTTAAATATAAGGTATGACGTATAAAGTGAATAAATACGACGTTAAATTTTATAATACGTCGTTAAATGAAGAACCCCAACGTGGTGAGAGTTAAAGATACCGTCGTAGAACTATATGAGAAAGACGTCGATATATTTATCTTTGCCGTAGTTGTACATTAATTTAATACGGCGGTATTTTGTATTATACTGCTGTGGATTTATTTGTAATTATACGGCGCCTTATACGAAAACTTGGTCGTGTTAATTTTTGAGTAAAAACGGCGGCTTTTTTTGACTTCGTCGTCTTTACTTTCTACGTCGGTCTATTCATAACTTCTGCCATTCTTTGTTGGCTTAGATTTTACTCTGCGGAAATCCTATTTCAATAAGACATCGGTTTTTTAATTAGGTGTGTCGTTTTTTAGGAACAACCATTGGAATCTCCATTTTTTAGGTGTCTAAGGTGTTATTACATGGCGGTTTTATAGAACCGTCGTCTTTTAAAAAACAACGACGATTTTCCTTAGACCGTCGTTTTTTTCTGGTCGTCTTTGTCACTTTTTGTAGTAGTGTAGAAAAACCTTAATTGAGTTAAGGCAAGTGTTGGACACTCTGACCCTAAGACGAATTACGCCCCACACTGGTACTTATGGTTCAGTAGCATTCGCCTCCTAGGATACAATGACTCCCCTCCTTATGAAAGAAGCACTGTAATTCACAAGGAACTTTGAACCAAATTATGTAGGAACCTCTCTTTATGGAAACTTTAATGCTCTCTATATATGAAAGTCTATATGTATAGAATTAATTGAATGAATAAAACTGCAGGAGGATTGCTCTATTTATAGATGATGAAATACCCTTTCCAAAATGGTATCCCAATCTGAAAAGGCAAACAATGCATTCCTTGGTCTCTGATAGGGTTCCAAACACATATGAAGAGTTGTCACCCCTCAATTGAAGATGTCTTTAACCCAATAAATTTTATTAATTTCCATTCAAATAGAAAATTAATATTAAATAAAATAATATTAAATTTCTCACATAACTCATAAATAAGAGCTCGTCTAAATCATCAGCACAAAAGCCAACCAAGCGAACTGCGTTGACGTGGTGGATATGGCCCATCATTCCCACTTCGTTTACGAACTCTTCCCCATTTCCCTTAGAATTGTTAAGTACTTTCATAGCAACAAAGAATTCAGAAGAAAGTTTTCCTTTAAAAACAGTTCCATAGGCTCCTTGGCCCAACTTGTCCTTGAATTGATTTGTGATCCTCTTGATATGTGCATATGAATATCTGCTTGGCTTGAGAGCTTTGTAATCCTCTAAAAACCTTTCGATTTTCAGTTGATTCTCTTTCTTCTTTTGATCAGCACTATAGACATGATACACTGCAATGACCAGTCCTAAAAGAAGGGAGCGGTGCAACTGCAAGTAAATACAATCCTTGAGCAAACACATATCTTCCAACGTCTTCTAGACATGAAACAAAGCAAAAGAAAAGACCAGTCTTAGATAACTCACCCATTGCCACGAATTCCATTGTTTTGCCTATAAAACAAAAACATAATTTCAAAATCAGATTGTCATGTTTGTGAAAATGACCCTGAACCAGCAGGTGGCAGATTATCATATTGGTCATCAAGTTTGCAAATATGATTTATTGAAACTCTACAAAATTGAGGAGAATATATGTGAAACAAATCCTTACTATCCTCAAGTGAATACATTCAACTTCACTTTTGATGTCATTCTTGTTCTATCTACACCTCTTGCCCTCTGCTTCACTTTCGGTACAATTTGGTTCAGACCATTTGAAGCGAAGAATAGAGCTGTCACCTCCAACCCAAGTCCCAAATGGAACTGATAAAACATCATACATCCTTGTACCCTTTTCGACTAAACCGCGATTCCAAGTACTGTGGCAACTCGAGGTTCACGTTGTACTGTGAAAACAACGTTACTGTATTGCACCTACTTTCTGGAAAATTCTTGGTGCTGGCCATCAACTACGATGACCAGATGATCGGAGTGGTAGATCCTGGCCTTCAAAGGAACAATTGCTCCTCCATTCCTGATTACCCTTTTGCCGATTTTAGATTTAGTCATCAGTACCCGCGGCTTCTGTATCATATTGCTATGTCAAGTCAGCCTGTAACTTATATCAAGTGTGCAAATCCAGTGAGTTCATCTCTCTACGTGGTGACTGCTCCATGCATTAATAATAAGAAAAATTAGGTATTAGACATAATTATCTTTACTAATTAGTAGTTGAGATAAACAATATTTCTGTTTGGGTTTTAATACCTAGGAATGAAATTTTGTTTTGGATTTGGCAAAAGAGGAGGCCCAGATTCGTTGGCCCACCTTATATTAAATTCTGAAAAGATAATTATACCCTTTTTGTTTAAAAGATTCTTTGGTTTGTTTTTTTATCAGATTAGATCTCTCTCTCACGCTCTCTCTCTACAGCAACGATGACCACAGCCTTCACCTGCGATGGAATTCTCAAGCAGCTCATCCCTTCGGTCTTAGCCAACAACTCCAAGGTCTTCTGGCTCAAGATGAAGAGCATTACGATCGCTATCTTGCTGAGTTCAAGATCGGTGCCAAGCACAATGACCAGTCAACCCTATTTGATCTCATTCTGGTACGTCAAAACCCTATCTGAACTCTAATAACGATTTGCTTCTTGGTCACGATTGTAGTGTTTTAAAGATTATGTTGCTTTTTTGCAATTGTAATGTTGGGTGAACCCTCAGTGTGTATTGTTGAACTTTCATTTGTAGAATTGTTAAGTTTCCTATCCCACAAAGGATTAAGGTGAAATTAATTGGGAAAATGATTCGTATCAAAGAAAAAGGGAAGATGTTTTATTTTATTGACTAAATTCTATTAAACTGTTATGCAGCCTTCAGGTACTCATGTTTCCTTTGCTATATTCCTATTCAATTATCGTTAGATCTATTCAAGTAAGAAAATCCAGTTATTGAGTGCACCCCTGAAGGCTGATTAGCCTATGCTAGGCAGAGGCTGTTGGCCTATAGCTCCTTTTATCCTTCCCACTTAAGAATTTTATAATTTGATTCACTTTTTTTTTTGCTACACAAGATAATTGATGAATTGTTGATTCATTAGTAAATCTATTGTATTTTCAGATGATACCTTGACAATCAACAAGGTAATTTTGACTTCCTAAATAGTAAACTAGTGATTCAAGAACTGAGAATCCACTGAATGCTTTACAAGTTAGTTGGTTTCAATAAAATGTCAAATTTCGGCTTTCTTATTTTTTGCTGAAAAAATTCACATACGCGTTCTCTGGTCTTCACTTGCATGTTCACTGCTTTCTAAATTGCTAGGTTGGTATGCAGTTTTCACTCTAATTTGTTGTGAACTTAATGTTATAGCTCGTAAGGATTTCATTCTTATAAATAAATAAAAATTTTTATTTTAATGTTTCTTTTTCCCTTTTTCATTTTAATGTTTCTTTTATCCCAGAACTACTATCCAAATTTGATTTTAATTTATTGTTTGCTTTATAATGCAATTATTTATCTATTCTCACACATTTGCAACAATCATGCAAGACGTATATGAACAGCATAAAGAGTTGATTTTACTTGGAGAGAGGGTTGTTCTTGCAACTCTTGCTTTTGATCTTAATGTAAACCATCCATATAAACCGCTGGTTGAGGCAATAAAGAAATTCAAAGTAGCTCATAGTGCCCTTGCTCAAGTTGCATGGAATTTTGTTAATGACGGGTATGGTTCTCTTAGTTCATATATCTTGCTTGTTCTTCTTGGCCTTTCTTCAGTTTCTTCTTGAACTTGGAATGTGGTATTGTATAATTATGCTTGTAGCTTACATGTTAGAGTCTTTTGTTTCAGGATCAAATCAGGTGGTAACAATTTGACTTTAAAAGGATAGCCCCTCATAGTAAGTTTTTGATGGCTGGATAGATTTTTAGATTCCTACAATTAGAAATTTTGTTGTGTCTGTTTGGATAATTTCTTTTCTTTAGTTTCCAATCCTATATTAACACAATGGTAATATATATGTTGAATGCATCAAAGTGACATTCTTTCTTAATTTTGAAAATCAATTGTTCGTTGTTGTCTATCTCTGAAGTTGAGAATCTCAAAATGACCAAATTCTTATGTAAATTCATAATCTTTATTCTTTGCTGGGCCTATTATGCTTATTGAAGATACAAATATGTTGATTAATGTGCTCTTATCAGAAATGCAATTTCCGTTTGTTGCAATTTTTGATAAGAAACTGCAGTGCAGTTTCCTGTTCCATATTTTGATTTTAGAATAATTTTTCAAAGTCTATGGGAATGTTACAACTGCTCATCTACTTATATGTATTTTGAACTTAGTTTTAGTACTTTGATCATAGCTTTGCCTTTTGGTTTCTTTTCACTTTTGGGCATATTTGTTTTTTTTAAACTGCACTGAAGTTTTATTTGTTGCATTTTTTTTTATCAGAAACTGCAATGCAGTTTCCTATTCCATATTTTGATATTAGAATAATTTTTCCAAGTCTATGAGAATGTTACAACTGCTCATCTACTTATATGTGTATTGAACTTAGTTTTAGTACTTTGATCATGGCTTTGCCTTTTGGTTTCTTTTCATATTTAAGCAGATTTTTTTTTCTTCAACTGCATTGCAGTTTCTGTTTGTTGCTTTTTTTTTCTTTTTTTTTATCAAAAACTGCAATGCAGTTTCTTGTTCCATATTTCTCTTTTAGAATGATTTTTGCAAGTCTATGGGAATATTACGACTTAATGTGCTTCCAACTTAGTTTTGGTACTTTAATCATGGCTTTGCCTTTTGGTTTCTATGCAAATATGAGCAGATGTTTTGTCATAAAATGCACTGCAATTTCCGTTTGTTGCAATTTTTGATAAAAAAACTGCAGCGCAGTTTCTTGTTCCATATTTCAATTTTAGAATAATTTTTCCAAGTTTGTGAATGTTACAACTGCTTATCTACTTATATGTGTTTTGAACTTAGTTTTAGTAATTTGATCATGGCTTTGCCTTTCGGTTTCTTTTCACTTTTGGGCAAATTTTTTTTATAAACTACACTGAAGTTTTTGTTTGTTGCATTTTTTTATTATCAGAAATTGCAATGCAGTTTCCTGTTCTATATTTCAATTTTAGAATAATTTTTCCAAGTCTATGGGAATGCTAGAACTGCTCATCGACTTAAATGTGTTTTGAACTTAGTTTTAGTACTTTGATAATGGCTTTGCCTTTTGGTTTCTTTGCAAATTTGAGCAAATGTTGTCATATACTGCGTTGCAGTTTTAGTTTGTTGCAGTTTCCGTTTGTTTTAGTTTTTGATCAGAAACTGCAGTGCAATTTCTTGTTCCATTTCCGTTTGTTGCATCTTGTTATAAGATTATATGACAGTAGAGGTATATAACAAATCTTTTCTCAAATTAGATTGACCACATCATTGTTGTAATCAACAACCTCATCTTCCTCTTCTTCTTCTCCAGCTTCCTTTTTTGCTTTCCCTTTCTCTGTTTTCATCTTTTGTTTTGTGCTGGCCTTTTCTTTCTTTGGTTTGTTTGCCATGACAATTTTCTTGTGTAATTCTTCTTCTACGAGGCCTTTTGATGGTTTTGTTTTTTTGTTTTGTTTGTAGTTTTGGTTTTGGTTATTTATTTATTTATTTACAGTTTTTCATGAATCTGTGTTGCATGAATTTTTTTTTTTTTTTTTTTTTTTTTTTTTTTTTTTTTTTTTTATTTTTTTTTTTTTAAATGATGATGATTTATATAAATATTGTGTAATTGAATAGATATCACAGAAACAAGTTTGGTGTAGTGGTTTGTGAGTGAGGCTTCCTTCGTTGAGGATCAAGGTTCGAGTCCCTTTAATGACACAAATTCTTCTTCTTTTTTTTAGGGTGAATAAAGGGCAATTGAGTTAGTCCCCGGTTGGTCGGAGATGGGCGGCGACAGGTGGCGGTGGTTGGCCGATAATGGGCGGTGGCGGTAGCGGTGGTGGTAGCTGACCGGAAGGGAGATTGCTGAAGGTGGACATGTGTCATAGTGTGCTTGCTTTTAAAGGAGTGGCATTGTGTGTAATTTTGATGTTTTTTAATTACATTATTGTAAAATTAGTACTACTTTTTGGTCTTTGGCCTTATGTTAATTAGATGAAATTGTATTTCTATATTCTAAATTAGTAAACTATATAGTGTCTTAAAATGAAAGCTCCCTTGATTCTATCAATTGCGCCAGCTTTTATGCATGCCTTCAATTACCTACCAATCCTATTCCAATCCCATCTCTTAATATAAGGAAACCAATTATAGCACGATGCAAACAATGAATCATCAAGGACGTGCACTCCAAGTTTGGGATACAAAGGAATATTTTAACTTAAATCAAAATAGAGTCCAACTAGGAAAGTAATTTTAAGAGATATAAAATCTATTAACATAAAAATACTTGATCGAAAATAACTCAAACTAGGAATCCTATAATAAATGCATGATTATGTCATGATTTACTTGAAATCAGTTTCCTCATATCGATCAAGTCACACTTCAAAATTCGGGATTGAATGTGTTGTGCCAAAACTTCCAATAAAAGATATTCACACCCTAATTCCGACCTATGCTAGAGTCTAAAAAATGACAATACAATTTTGATACTAACACAAAGAGAAAACTAACTAGGAAAAACTTAGTTAGAACGCCAACCACACGTCACCACCTGGTGCATGTCACCCTCTAACCACCTAAACACGGAAAAATCTATTTTGGAACCTTGTTATAGAATTTTTATGGAAAGCCATTCTGCTGAAGTTTTGTACATTAGCTACAAATGTAAGCCCAATAGTCATCTGAACACAAAGCAATTTTTCCGTGTCGTTATTGTAAGTGCCTTGCAAACGATCTTTTCCATCATTTTTCTGTCGTGTGGACTGTGTCAATAGAATTTTCACATAATTTCTTGGCAGGGTGCCTTTATTTTCTCGTGGAAGAAACAAACGGGAGAAAATGACCTCTCATGAATAACAAAAGTCATTAAAAAAAATACAAATTTATAAATAAACCCAATTCTAGACATATATTTATAAAAAAAAACCCAAACACTATTTAAACATAGAAACACACCCAAAATCAACAATTGTATATTTTTTGGGTGTGTTTATCAATGAATTTTGAGTGTGTGTAATGATGGATTTTGGGTGTGTTTATAAAGTGTTTTGGGTGTTAGGTTTTTTTATAATTTCAGCCCCCATTTTGGGTGTTTTAGTGAAACTCCTAAAAAAAAATCATTGAGTTTTCCGCTTGTAACTCAATTTTTTTCCTAATACCATTGACATACATACACTTTTTTTCTTCAAACTTGATTTTTCTGGTTTATATAAAAAGGGTGAAAACACAGAGTGTGAAAATGAATGATGATGGAGAAAGAAACCCATGCACTGACTTTTGAACAGTTTGATTCTTCAACGTCAGATTTTTCCTTTACATAGATTTCCAAGTACACTCGATCCAAATTAGATAAGTCAGCTTTGAATTCTGAATTCTATAAACTCATGGGTCGTCCCGTGCATATGAAAACCATCATTTCCAGCTGCATGTGTTCCTTCCGTGATGGGCTCTCTTGTGTTTTCTACAATGCAATGAATTAAATTCTGATAATCTAGAACTAGAAGACTAGAACTGGATTGGCTAGGTTTTGTAATGTTATAAGATTTTACAATATAATATAAACACTAGGTTTTTTTCCTATGTAATTTGTTTTTGGTGAATTGAGCCTAATAACCGGAGTCCAAGCTAAGCAACTTTATTTCCATAACTTGTTCTTTTTTTTTTCTTTTTTTTTTGGTACTCTAGTTTACTTTTTTGGCGTGAGGTTTGGAATGTTCATTCTTTTTGCTCCTTCACCGAACTTCTTCTTGGTCTTCTTCCGTTCCTCTCTCGTTGCGTCAAAGACGTCGTTTATTCTTATTTTGTACCATATTATAATATATGAGTAAAGTATTTATTTATGTTTTTTTTCAGTTTATAAAGTGACAGTCAAAATTACTGAAGAATCTCCGTTTAAGTAAAGCTAAGAACCTTACATTTCTCCTCCATCCTAACTTTTATTACAGTCGAATGATGAGAAAGCATTCTTCTCCTCCATCTCCTTCTTTTCCCTCTTCTTCTTCTTCTTCTTATTCTTCTCCTTTCACTCAATCATGGACATACGATGTGTTTTTGAGTTATAGAGGTGAAGATACACGCAAAACTTTTATCGACCACTTATACACTGCTTTGGACCGTCAGCCCTTGTGTTTGGCCCAAAAGAAAAAAAAAAAAAAAAAAAAAAAAAAAAAAAAAAAAAAAAAAAAAAAAAAAAAAACCCCCCCCCCCCCCCCCCCCAAAAAAAAAAAAAAAAAAAAAAAAAAAAAAATTTTTAATTTTTTTTTTTTTTTTTTTTTTTAAAAAAAAAAAAAAATTATTTTTTTTTTTTTTTTTTTTGGGGGGGGGTTTGGGGAAAAAAAAAAAAAAAAAAAAAAAAAAAAAAAAAAAAAAAAAAAAAAAAAAAAAAAAAAAAAAAAAAAAAAAAAAAAAAAAAAAAAAAAAAAAAAAAAAAAAAAAAAAAAAAAAAAAAAAAAAAAAAAAAAAAAAAAAAAAAAAAAAAAAAAAAAAAAAAATCATTGACGATGAGCTTCCAAGAGGAGAAGAAATATCACCTGCACTTCTGAACGCAATCGAAGAGTCAATGATTTCTGTCATTGTATTTTCAGAAAACTATGCATCTTCAAGTTGGTGCTTGGATGAACTTGTTAAGATCCTTGAATATAAAAAATCAAAGCAACAACTTGTTATGCCAATTTTCTACAAGGTGGATCCCTCAGATGTACGAAATCAAAGAAGTAGTTTTGGTGATGCACTTGCTGACCA